TATCGATGATGATGGGAACCAAATTTCCCACTGTTGGAGAAGGGAGATTCAATTATGAAATGAGAAAGCCTTAGAAAAAGCAAAGTAGTATTGAATGGTAATTGAACTCATGGACTTTTATTCATGTAATTATAAACATAGACCTAGGCATAACATAAACAAAGACATGTAGATAAAAATTTCCTTTTGTTGATTGCAAAGGCTGAGATGCAATTGTATCCCAGAGGCATTTAGGGCACCGGTGCCCATCAAATGGTACCAGAACTCCCTGGAGAATTTCTGATTCCAGTCAGTGCAGGGAAAGAACAAGATGAGTCTGCAACTTTGTTTTTTACCTCATTCTCCTCACTTTCTCTCCCCTTCCCTTATTCTCCTTCATCTACTCTATTGATCTTCCTTCAGCTCATTTGTTTACTTTTGATTGGTACTTTCTCCATTCATATGTATAAAGTTGGAATTCCCTGTGATGTATTTATATATGCACAATGAAATCTCATTATATTCATTCCTTATTACCTCCCCATTCCCATTGCTCCTCCCTCTGTCTCAATCTCCTTTCTCTACTCCACTAATCTTCCCTATATCTTTATGATGTATGATTCCTGCCCAACTTTTCCTGTTACCTTTTGCATGTGAGAGAAAAATATTCAAACCTTTATTTTCTGAGTCTGGCTTATTTTGCTTAGCATGAAATTCTCCAGTTCCATCCATTTACCCACATAATTTCACTCTTCTTTATGACTGAGTAAAAGTCCATTGTGTATATATACTATATTTTATTTATCCATTAATCTATTGATGAGCATCGCGGCTGGTTCCATAATTTGGCCATTGTGAGTTGTGCTGCTATAAACGCTGATGTGGCTGTGTCACTGTTTTAGTCATCTTTTTTTGCTGCTGCAAATAAGACCCAAGCAGAACAAGTGAAGAGAAGGAAAAGTTTATTTTGGGGCTCATGGTTTCTGAGATCTCAGTCCACAGACAGCGGGCTCCTTTCCTTGGGGTTTTAGGTGAGGCTGAACATCAATGGCAGAGGGAAGCAGATGGCAGAGAGAGACTCCACTTACCAGAAACAAAATATATAACCCAAAGGTACGCCCCCAATGCCTCACCTGCTCCAGTCACACCTTGCCTTCAGTTACCACTCAGGAATTGGGTTAAGGCTTTCATAACCAAATCATTTCTCCACTAACCTTCTTGCATTGTCTCAAACCTGGGCTTTTGGAGGATACCTCACATCCAAACCATAACAGTAGGATTTGTATCAAAGTCTGACTTTAAAATATTTTTATTTACATCCTCATTTCTCTAACAAATTTTCATTTTAACAACATTGAGAGAACAAAACCCTTAACTAACATGCAAAGGCCAGATAGTAATTATAGTGAATTTTTATATAAAATGTATCATGTTTATGATAGAATATTAATAACTAAAAACAAAATAAATGATAAGCTACTTTGAAAATTCTAAGTAGTACAACTAAATTATAGCTCACTAATAAATGTATATAACCAACAAACACATTTTAAAAATTTATTTCCTTTTTAACATTTGTAGTAGTTTTCTAGGCTGTCTACAATTGAATAATTGGTAGAAAAGGAAGCTGGCTAAATATGTGGAAGTGTGAATAGCATATTTATAAGCATGCTTAACTAGTTAGATTATTTAACATGAGCACTACTTTAGAAGCATACTTTATGCTTATATGTGATGTGCCAGTTTGATATGTCTATTACTGCAAAAATGTTAGCACCTTAGTGATTTATTTGAAAGCCACATAGCAACATTTTCTTGAAAGAATTAATATCAGATTTTTCACTCAGGCTGGACTTCCTTCAAATTAGCATGGATTGATGGGCTGTTTCTGCTTCTGAATTTTCTCCACTAATATGACAGTTGGATTTTATCATCAAAGGCCTTTTCTGCATCTATTTAGATGATCATATGATTTGTGTCCTTAGTTCTGTTTATGTGGTGAATTTCATTTATTGATTTACATATGTTGAACAAATCTCTGTAACAATTTTTACACCAAAAAATAGGTTAATAATTAAAAATATTGGGAATATGTCAAAAGGACTTTGGACCCCACTTAACAGAACGCCTACAGGATGAATCTTGGATAATTTGAGTATTAGAATAAATCATGATTACAATGCCTTTTAATCTATTGGAATAGAAAAGAATCCATGAGTCCATACAAATAAGTAAACAAACAACTATGAAAAGAAAACTCATTTTTACAATAGAATGTTAGTAAAGTAATGGAGTTTTTTAAATCAGCCTTTTGCAACTGTCATAACAAAAATTAAATCAGGGAAGGATTATTAGTAGATATTAAAACTAGTAGACAAAAATTAATAAAAAACATTGTAACTTATAAAATTTATTAAACATTAAATTTTTAAAATAAAAACCATTATAACTTATAAGTATCTTTATAACTTATTGAATTTAACTTATTAAACTTTTTAAATACAAAAAACATGTAACTTATAAGTATCTTCTCACAGTTACGTATAAGTTATAATGAGAAAAATACCATCTGTACAGAAAAGCCTGGTAAGCACCAAGTCATCAGATCTGCCACAATGATAACAGCACAAATGAACAGTATGTGCCTCCAAATATGAAGCATTGAGGGAAAATATCATTGATGTAGCATTCCTGCCAAAAATGCATAGCATGAACTTAATCATTAGAAAATGTCACACAAGCCCTATTTAGGGGAGAGTCTACAAATAAAATATTTAAACTCATCAAAAATATCAACATTACTTGTTAAAGACTAAGAAATTTCTACTTAGCTATTTTGCCAGAAACTATTGTATATTGTAAGAGGCCAAAGAGAAAGGAAAATTTAATGCAAGGAATGGTTCTGTTTCAGATCCTTGATCAGAAAGGAAAATATCATAAGGGACATTATTGAAAATATGAACAGAATTTGATTTATTTATAAAGTAGATTGTAGTATTATATCAACATTAAATTTCCCATCAGCAGTTGTGTAAGTTAATGTCCTTGAACTTAGGAAATGTTTGCTGAAATATTGGGAGCAGAGGGGCATGATGACTACAAAGCACTTTCAGAAAGTTCAGGCAAAAAAAATATGGGAACACACATAGTTAGAATGTTAACAATTAGTGCAGCTTATACAAGAGTAATTCATACTATTCTTTAAACATTTCTGCATATTTGAAAATATTTCTAAATAATATTTGAGTTGTAACACGTTTACATTTTTAGGTTGTTAAAGTAAAACAAGCTCACTGTAAAATATACACCATGTCCTGAAAATTATAAAGTAGAAATTGCAAATCCTGTGTAATTCCATGATCCATTAAATCACTAGTATATTCCTTCAGAATGATTTTTCACTACATATTTTGGATGTAATGAGTATACCAAAAAAGACATAACATCACATAAACACTATGTAAAAAAGAGGTGACTAATTTTTCTCATACTGACCTTTTTTATTTTTATGTTGGGAACTCGACAATCTAGCCACTTTGAGAGAAATTCAATGGCAATGAGGACTTTCCGAGTTAAATTCAGTTCAGGGTTGTAACCACCCAACATTATTTCCCCATGGGAGTATCTAAAGCCCAGGGAATCTTATCTAGTTTCCAAAACTATGGTGAGGCAAGAGAAGATTGAAGGAATTGTCTCTAGACATAGAATATTAACACTGTTGCTGAATATCTGGAAGTAGTTCTCTGTGTCTCCCTCTCTGTATTTTTGGCCTCTCTGTATTATACATTTTGGACTGCATAAATTTTTCAACTAACATACAAGTGAAAAAAATATATTTTAAGAATCCAATTGGCCAGGCATGGTGGTGCATGCCTGTAATCCCAGCAGCTCAGGAGGCTGAGGCAGGAGGATTGTGAGTTCAAAGCTCAGCCTCAGCAAAAGTGAGGTGCTAAAGCAAATCAGTGAGACCCTGCCTCTACATAAAATATAAAATAGGGCTGGGGATGTGGCTCAGCAGCTGAGTGCTCATGAGTTCAATTCCTAGTACCCCCTTTCACCGCCCCCCACAAAAAAAAATCCAATGGCACTAACATTTCCATTAGTAGTAGTTAGTGACCATAATTCATTTGAAATCCTGGTAGAAAAGAAAATGATAGAAAGTATTTTCCTTGAAGCTCAAGTCACAATGTTTTTCATTAGCAACAAAAACTTATGACGTTGGGTGAACTCATCTTTATAACAGAGAAGAATCTGGGACTTTACCAGTCTGGCAATCTAAGAATCTGACCAACAGTTTGCCTTCAAATGACTAAATACTGGGATCTCTTGTGTTCACAATCATATTTTGAAAAAGAATAGAAATACATATACAGAGTTTTAAAAATTTAAGCAATACCAAGGCACAAAACAAAAATTTTATATCCCTTTATCTTCTCATTATAAATTCCTGCCTCCCCAACACCAGGGCCTCATTATATAAATCAGGGTTGGCAAACTACAGCCTATGAGCGAAATCCAGCCCTTGCCTGTTTTTTTGTCAAGATTTTTTGGAACACAGCCACTCCCATTCCTTTGACATATTATCTATAATACATAGAGCTACTTCTCTGTTTATACAGATGGAATAAGTAATCCATTGTTTAAATTCCATGTTTTCTGATCTTTGAAATATGTGTACATTTGTGCAAATGACATCTATTTGGACAATTATTACAGGTGAAATTACTGAACCAAAGTTATGTGCATTTTTACTTTATTAAATATTGTCTAGTGGCTAAATGTAAAAAGTTTTATGACACATTGTAGAATTGATGCAATTCCCAAGCAAGACCTATTCCTTTTGTTATTCTTTTTGTTTAGATAATACTGAGCAGAAAAATATAGCCCAAGGCTATGAATGGGATAATAAATACAATAGGAAGGTAGAACATGGGAAAAATGCAACTTTTAAATAATGCACAGTCACAAAAATATAAAAGAAGAGCAAAGGATAATGAAAATTGAGCAACATGACTCTTGGATTAGTTAAGGAAAAATAGAAAACTTTATTTTATGATTTTCCAACAGAAAATACCATCAACATTTTGCCAAAATTGTTTCATACATTAAGTTAAATACTAGTTTCAGATGGGGGTAAATATGTCTTTAGCTGCAAAATTTCAGAGACAGGCTGTGCTTTTTCCTGGTAAAAGTCAAGTCCAGTAAGAAGTTCTACATCACGAACCCGGGCAATATGTGCTTTAAATCTTTCTTTAATCCAAACATCATCTTTTTTATTTTCCTGCAAGGAGAAAAAAAAGATTGTTTTTCCTAGGGCATGATTTTTCATTAACAGATATATATTTTATTATTTAGAAGTAATATTTTTATAAAATGTATTGCCTTAAATCTTTATTTGATACAATTAAATTTTGTTTAATAAAACAAAAAGTGAAAAATGTACTATAAGAAACACAGGCTGCCACAAAAGCATAAAGTTTAGCCACTTTTATATTTACTTCAAATGTAAGTTTTTAAAGGAAATATATTGCAGATGAAGGTAAGTTCCCAATGTTTCTTGGTTTTTAGGTAAACATTACTATGAGTCAGTGTGAATCCAAAATAATTTTTAAACTTTCACTACACATCAAAATATAATATATAGTATTGGTCTATGAGTCTTCAAATTTATATAAGTGACATAATAAGTGGTATGTTCCAATGATTTTTTTCATTCATTTTTATGTTTATAATCTAGATAGTGACATACCCAGATCTAGTCAGGTCATTTGTTTTTATCTAGAGTTTGTGATAGTACCTCATTTTAATGTAGCATAGCTTATTTTTTTTCAACTTTACCTTTTCAAATGAAACTGTCATGAATAACTAACTGGGCCTCCTTGATTTACAAGCATGGGTTTCTAGGATATATAAATGAAACTTCTGGGTCATAGAGCATCTACAATTTTAACTTAACCAAATATAAACATGGCACTCCTCAAAAGGTCTATGCTAATATATACCTCACAGCAAGTGAAGATGCTCTCTGTATCCCCAAATCTTTGTCAATCCATGGGTGTGAAATAGCATTTTGTGCCTGTTTAAATTTTATTACCCTGAATATTTTGATAGTTGAGTATTTTTTTGGTTATCTTTTAGCCATTTAACTTTTACCAAGTTTTTACCATATAAAAGTTAGTTCCATGTATTTCTGTGACACATTCTTTATTAATTTTGTATTTATGTGTGTGCATGTGTGTGTGTGTGTGTTACTAGGGATTGAACATTGGGCTGTTTTACAACTGAACCATATCCCCATCCCTTTTTATCTTTTAAGACAGGGTCTTGCTAAGTTGCCCAGGCTAGACTTGAACTTGTGATCCTCCTGCCCCAGCATCTGAGTAGCTGAGATTACAGATGTGTACCCCTGCACCTAGTTTTAATTTTCTAATATTCAATATTTCTGATATCATTACTTTTCAGTTAAATTTTCACAAAGTTTCAACATATGTTTATTTTAATGAATGTGTTTTAGTCACTCTCATTTTACTTAAGCACAGTGGTTTGCTTGTTTTTTCAGTATGCAGACTCAAAAAACAGGCAGCCACCCTTTAAGTAAGACAAAGAACAAAAAAGAGGAAGTCACTTTTTGTTCCTAACCACTAGAACATTTTTCTGTGTGACATTCATGTTAGTTAATTTATTTTCAATGAAAATATGGTGTGCTAAGTTAAGCTTAGTCTTCCAGTGGGAATCTAACTCAGTCTTTTTTTTACATGCCTTTACTATTTCATACTTCAGCAGCATTTAATATTTCTGATCACCTTTTTCCCATAACATTTTTTCCCAGTTAACTTACATGATTCTCTCTCTCTCTTTCTCCTGGCTTATTTGTTATCCATCCAACCAAGTATTACCAAACACCTGACAGTCTTCCTTCTTTTAAATTGCAGTAAAATAATTGTGAAGTACCATATGCAGCTGTATGTATGCAGAGGTGATACTGGAAATTTAACACCAGCTAAGTCACCTGCAGCAGCCAATATGAACAGCAGCCACCTATAGATAATTCTCTAGTTGTACAGTGCACCTCAGCCTAAGAGCAATATTACATATATATGGTTTATGAGCTATTTAAATATATGCTTTGATTTTATGTAATACATGTTATTAGTGTATCTTAGCCCTGTGACATAAACAGAAGAACTACATACCTACCAAAATACAGCTCACTTTGTTCATTTTTTGAGGGATATCAATTTCAGTTTTTTTCTTTCTTCCTAACCACTTCCTCATTCTCTCTCCATAACCCTCGGTCTGCATATTGCTGCTAGCACACCAAGGCAGCTGTTTTGCCAGGGGAACCTCATTAGTGAGTGTCTGCAGACCTTTCACTGAATGGATTAGCCCAAGCTTTAGAATGTTCCTCCTCTGTCTTCCATAGCTCTACTAACCATCCCTCATTTGGCGATAGCTTCTATTTTCTTATCTGCCTCTACTTCTTCCCATCCTTGAGTTTTCTCTCAATTTGACCTTAGGATTTTTCCTTTCTACTTTCTTTCCTCTGGCAATTTTATTTTGCTCCCTTGACTTAATGCCAAATAGACATGTTTTCTGATTTCTTTTATAATACCATACCTATATTTCCCCATATCTTCTGAGTAATTTATAATAATAGTTAGTTAAACTCATGGCTACATTTTCATTTTTCTGACAGGAATTAACATCCAAAGTTAAAGAAAAATAAAAAGGAAGAAGGGGAAAGATTGAAGGAATAGGGAAGCAAATAAATAAACAAATAAATAAAAAGAAATATGAATCTAGTTCTCTAAATCAGGTGTGGGGTGAAATTGTGAATCTCTAATTCCTATAGCTTGTCTCAGTTCCCTCAAACCTCTTTCAGTTGGTACCTTTGTGCACTGGTTAGAAGACATAAATGTTCTGAGGTTTCACACATGCAACCCTTAAATCATGACAACTATTTCATCAGGTGCTTGTAGCATAACTACCTGTTCTTATGCTAGTGAAAATATTAGCTGGCTTGAACTAAGGAACACTTTGTGCATGTATTGTACTTCCTAAGTGATTTGACTATGGGGATTTACTTTCATCTTATGTTGTCTTTAGGATGCAAATCCATCATAAGATATGATTCCTTTAAAGGGCCACCATTCACTTACTACATTTTTTTATGAATCATCTCATTTTATTCTCATGACAACTTTATAAAGGGAGATGAAATTTTTTATTCTTATTAGATATAACAGATGAGGAAACTGTTATTAAGTTAACAGTTAAATTAGGTCAAGTTACTAACTAATCCAAGATGTCTAAACCCTAAACCACACATTTAAGTCCTATTCTGCACTGTTTCTCTTATGTTCTAAATACATAATTAGTCTCAAACTGAAAACCACCAAGAGAAATTCATCCCTCCCCCAAACAACTCCTTATCTTATACATTTCCTGGCCAGTCATTTTTAAATTATCAGGCACCTCTAATTCTCATCCTGCTTCCTCTTCCTCACAGTTAATTGACAGCTGCATCTTATTAACTTCACCATCTCTCATGTAGTCATAACTTGCTTTGCTTCATACTCATCACATTATGACTCAGAATGATACATATGAATATCATATCCTTATTAATAAACCACAACTTCCTCAAAACTCTGGATTGTGGATCCAACCCATTGGTGATGATGTCCTGTTCAAAAGATATGGTGCCCTATTGTTTAGGGGAGATTGTTTCCATGTTGGATGATCAGGGAAGGCTTCATACAATTTGCAATTAACTTTATAGTGCAGGTGGAATTTTTAGAAAATGGAGAAGGAGGATATTCTAGAAGCAAGAAGAATACAGGCAACAGTGATGAGGTAGGGAAACTCAAGACATGTGCAAGAAATTTCAAGGACTTCATCCAGCCTGAGCATGAGCTTGCAGCATCAACTGAGAGTCAATTGTGAAGAGATTTAACTACAAACTGGGAGTTTTTTGTTTTGCTTTGCTTTTTTTTCAGTATAGATGATCAAAAATTTTGGTATGAAGGAGTATGACATAAGCAAAAATGAAATTTTAAGATGAGCAAGTTGGTATTGGTGCACATAGGTGAAGAAGAGGACAACAGATAGCAAAGCTACTTAAGATTTGTTTTCAAAAGTCCTGAGAGAGGGTCATAAGGATTTAGACCAGGGATGGCAAATAGTTTCTTCTTTGTATGTCCATTATAATCATCCTATAATGGCCACCTAGTGCCTCAGTGATAACTGCTTGACCCCGATTCCTGGGTGAAGAGTACCATACTCTATCACTTGTCAGTGTCTGCTCTTGGAAGAGGAAGTGAAGATTGGTGCTTTACCCTGGTCTCAGTAAAAAAAAATGATGACAGAAAAAATAGGAAGGGATTCAACTTAACAACATCTGAGTTTCTTGTTTTGAAACTATCCTCCCTTATTTTAGGACTATGAGTGACTCACTATTCAGCATCTGACATTTGTCCTCCATCTTTAGTCAAAGAAAGACTGCTCAAACACTCTAGTCAAATCCTCTCTGCATGACTGAGCTAAAATATCACCTTCCCTACCAAGAAGTATTTATGCTTTGAAATTTAACAGCACTTTTCTGTCTCTCTGTTGAGCTACTTATCTTGCCTTCTTCCATTTTGCTAGGCTTTTAGTAAAATGTAAATGCTAGGCTTCTAATAAAAGTAATTGCTAATAAATGCAAGTACTTTCCATGATATAACATGGTGAAAACAGATTTCTTATTGAAAACATGACAGAACATATGTAAAACTCCATCTAGCCTAGAGCCTAAGTTTTAATTTCCAGTCTCTAATGGTCAATAGGATTTTTTGTGTGAATACCTATTTCCACAAACCTGACATGCCTAAACTTAACCATCCTATCTATCTACCAAAAAAGTTATCATTCCTCTTTTTGTATTTTCCTTAATTATCTATATTTTAAAATCTCAGATTCAGCTTTGAGTTTACATTTTCCTTTGGCTCTTCTGTCCTATTGTTACCAAGTCTTCTCCATTCTTCACACACTATTCTTAGTCTTCTCAACTTATACAAATTCTGCCCATTGTCTAGGGCTCAGCCCTACTCTCACTTCATTTTATAAAACCTTTATTGATTATGACAACTAAATATGTTCTTAACTCCAAACACCGAATCCTTTTAACAGTATTTGACAACTGAACCCAACTTTGTGACATATCTTAATTTTTAACTTTTAAAATAATTCTTACATTATTGACTGGCCCATTTATGTGTCAGTACCTTATTTATATATCAAAGTCATATATAAACTTCTTAAGAGAAGGGACAATGTATTCCTGTTTTGTGCATTCTAAAGTGTTTATATATTCAAACTGAAGTAACTATTCACACAAAATTTGCCTAACCTAACAAAGAATGTTACTTAAGCTAACTTATTGTGTGTGTGTGTGTGTGTGTATGAATATGTGTAAAATTAATTTCACACCTCATGTTTCAAATTGATAAAATTTTTATATTTACATGTTCATTGAGGAAACATGAATTTAAAGCCAATCTTAGGATAGAATCTTAAGATTTGTGTCCAGAATAAAAAATTAATGAAATTGTCCTTTCCCTGGTGAATGTGTGTGCGTGTGTGTGTGTGTATGCAGATACATGTCTGATATTAATGACAGAGATCAGTCACCTGTAGAAAACCTTAAAATTGAGTCATTTTAAATTACAACTATGCCCATACATATTTTTAGAGCCACTTTTATGAAGACCCAAAGGAGCTCTGAGCAATCATTTTCTGAGGTCCCAGGACTCTCTCAAAGCATACTCACAGGACAGCTTTCCACATTGGTAGGTCGGTGAGGGATGATAAAAGGTAGGACATCCAACTGCTCGGGGCAATTGTCTGGTACAAAACTCTGGTTTTTACAACTTGTCAGCACCACAAAAAAGTGTGTTGGGATGGAGACGCTGGAGTTGACTACATGTCTAAAAATATAATTTAAAAGATTTGATGTCATTAGAATTTTACTTTGAAGGATCATAAATGTCTTTGTATAGTTTTAAGGAAATGCCAAGGTAAAAATATATTAAAACATGGTAACAGATGGAGAGTACAATGTTTTATCATATATTTCTTTTAATTCAGTCAGTCAGTACAGATTTATAGCAGAAGTCCAAGATTGGCCATTCTAAAATTATGGGAAAATATCAGAATACAAATTCTGCTTTGCTATGTTTCCTGGCTTTGTTGACTTCATTCTTCACAGTGGTATTTTTTTTTTTAACAGAGCAGGAGCTAGAAATGAAGGAGCCCCAATTCCAACTCTGGCTATGTACTTTCACTTACTTAATTATCATTCTATTACTGAGCCTCCTCAGCTTTAATAAGGAAGTGGACTTGTACTACCAACTTGCTATGGTTTGGATGTGAGGTGTCCCCCAAAAGCTCACATGTGAGACAATGCAAGAAAGTTCAGAGGAGAAGTGATTGAGTTGTGAGAGTCTTAACTCAGTGAATTAATCCCCTGATAGGGAATAACTGAACTGAAACTGGCAAGTGGAGTCTCTCTCACTCTGCTTTCTGATCACTGTGTGAGCTGTTTCCCTTTGCTGTGATGTTCAGCCTTACCTTGAAACCCAAGAAATGGAGCTGGTTGCCTATGGACAAAGACCTCTGAAACCCTGAGCCTTAAAATAAACTTTTCTTCCTCTACAATTGTTATGATTGGGTCCTTTAGTCACAGCAGTGAAACAGCAGAGTAAAATACAACATCACAGTGTGGACATAGGGATAAATCCATACAAAAGATATGGCAGTGCTTTGGATTCAAATAACAAATGTGCAAGTGCTTTGAAAAGTTTTAGGTGTGCAGTAGGGGTAAGATGTAAGTATGAGTCCACTAAAAGGAACATGAGCTGGTATAAATGACTGGTATGTGAGACTCAGAGACAGACTATCTGGGTTTGTATTTTTCTTTACCACTTCCACTTGTGGAATTTGTCTCATATATTACTGTCTTTGCCTCAGTTTACTCATCTTTAACTGGAGGATATTGGCACTGAATATAAGGTTGTTTTGTAGATTCAATGAAGTATATGTAAATGATTAGAAAATACTTAGCATATAGGAAAGAACATCAAAGTATTTGTCAGCTATTCAGTGATGAAAGGTAGAAAGCAATAAACACTGAAATAAGAAGGTAAACAAAATAAAGACTACCCACTTAGTAGACACAAAGGCTACTTGATCAGAAGATATAGTAGAAACCATTGCCTTATATAAAATAGGCTTAGAAATTATAATTGTTTAGTTTGGTCCTTCCTATATTTTGATAATAAAAAGAAGTGATGGATGAAACTTCTCTCTGAAGCTCTCTATTTCTATTACTGCATTCAAAATTAATTCTCAGCAACCTATTATGAACAGGTTTAATATTGAGATGCACAGTTTAGTTGGATTAGTTTTGCATGTGAAATCTACCTACATTTTCTCTTGGGAGATGTTTTTTATGAACTGTTTAGTATTTTTGTGACTAAGATAGGCAGTCTTTACTTGAGTTTTTTCATTTATTATTGAACTGCTTCTATATTTATCAGTAGCATTTTAAGTTTTCCCTACCTCCTTATTAACTGTTATACAGTCTTTCTTTAACTTTTTCCATTATTAGAAACTTTCAAATGAAAATTTTGCTAAACTCTGCCTGAAAATTTTTTTTGGCCTTTTAGTTTAATTTTTTGCCATTTAATATTTTTGCTAAATATTTAGACTAGGTTGAAAATAGTCACCAATAACATCTGAATATGAATATATCCTATAACACTTAAAATACATAGTTTATGTTTAAAATATCGGGATTTCCCCTCATGATACCTTGTTTCTAAGTCTAAATCCCAAATTAGCTGGCTTGGTGGCTCACACATGTAATCCCAACTACTTAGGAGTCTTAAACAGGAGGATCACACTTTGATACCAACCTGGGAAAATTAATGAGGTTATCTGAAAATTAAAATTAAAAAGGCTAAGAACATAGCTCAGTGGTAGAGCACTTGCCTACCATGTGCAAGGCCCTGGATGCAACCCCTCAGTACTTCCAAAGGTAAAAAATAAAAAATACAAGCTATATTACTTACTCTGTAATTTCATCTGGAGTATCAAAATGGCCATCATAATTATAATCAAATATTGGTCCACTAATCACATTTACTCCATTTTTTTTAGTGGCATATTCTATAAGAAGAACCCCCTGGAAATAGTCCCACATTTCTAAAAATGAAAAAATAAGATGTTAAAAATATCTACCTTTATTGAACATGGTAATAGTTTTTTCCTATAGATAAGTACATTTACACAGTATCATATTCTACTTCTACAATTGACAATCAATGATGGTTTGGTCTTTCTACAAGTAGTTCATGCAACAAAAATAAGCAGCCATGTTGAAGACCTTTTTTTAAAAAAACAATATTTACTTTTTTAGTTGTAGTTGGACACAATAACTTTATTTATTTGGTTTTTTGTGGTGCTGAGAATGGAACCCAGGGCCTTGCACATGCTAGGCAAGTGCTCTACTGCTGAGACCCAAAACCAGCCCCTGAGGACAGTTTTCGTTGCTATAGTTGCAGTCATTAAATTGCAATTAAATATGTCTCCAAATTCTTACATAAAGCTGAATTGTTTTGGAGACAAAAAGTGTTAAAAATGGAACACATATGCTGTCTTATTAATTATTATTCTAGATACAAACATTTACCTTTCACTTACTTATGGTGAGTGTCAGTAAAATTTAGTTTTGTAAATAGCTCTTTGCAGTTAATAGCTAAGATCAAATTATCAGAATTCTAGCAACATGTTCCTCAAAGTTGAAAAGAAGGTCTGTCAGGGATCTTTCTGTACCCATATTTAAAACATCAGAACAAACTTTCAATAATGTAACAAATTGCAATAAAATAAATATTTAATTTGGATATTCCAGGAGTCATTTAGATATTTCAAGATAAAATAAGTAACACTTACTTTTGAATTCTTCATACATAGGGACCATATTACTTGTAACTAAAGCATCATATCGACTATTAGAAGTTCTACTGTTTGCTGAAAAACAAATGGGTCCTATTAAATCCAGTTACACAAGAAAATATGATGAACTACCTATTACTGTTATATATTGATGTAAATTTATTAGTAGTCAAAATGCAGAAGTATTGAGTACTTTTTAGTAGAGGTTATCAAGAATGCAAGCAGTTTTATGCATTTGATACTTATAGTGGGTTGAAATATGACCCTCCAAAAAATATGTCCAAGTCCAACCCTCTCACACCTATGAATATAAACTTATTTGGAAATAAGAATTTTTTGCAGATATAGTTAAGGATCTCTAGATGAGATTATTGTTGACTATGGTGGGCTGTTCATCCAATGACTGATGTCTTGATAAGGAGGAGTTTTGAGGACAGAAAACACATCCAGGAGAAGACCACATGAAAATGGACACAAAAATTAGAGTGATACAAAAGCATGCCTGGAGCCACCAGAAGCTTGAAGAGCCAAGGAAGGACTTTCCCCTAGAGCTTTCAGTGGGAGCTTGGTTCTGTTAATGCCTTGATCTTAGATTTCCACCTTCCAAAACTGTGAAAAAATATATGTGTGTTACTTTAAGTAAATAATTTGTTACAGCAGTCCTAGGAAATAAATACAATGCTAGATATAGATGTATAGATATTGAACGTGCACAACATAACAATGCCTTTATGAATAAATCTTCCAAAACAAAATTTTCATAAGAAAATAAATTTTTATTTGTTGGCGACTGCTGATGAGAACATCACAAATAATTGGCTCCGAGGAATTACAGGTGTACCTTGTAGCACAGTGAGTATTAAGCAAGTGTGCTCTGGAAGCAGTTTCCCAAGTTGGGGAGCCCCTCTGCTCACCAGCTATACCACTTGGGCAAAATGTTGAATTCCCCTGTGATTCATTTGTTTCATGGCATCTATCTCATTCAATTATTATCAGAATTAAAAACTGCAAACTTATTAAAGTTTTATTTCAATAAAAACACTTAGCAAGAAATCTACCTTCTTAACAAATTTTTAGTGTAGAAAACAGTATTGTTATCTCTGTGTGTATTTAGTTCGTCTTCTGGTCTATAGCAAAATACCTGAGGCTGGGCACTTACAAAGAAAAGAGGCTTATTTAGCTCACAATTTAGGAGTCTGAAAGTCCAAGATAGGGTGACCCCATCTGTTTGACCTCTGGTGAGGGTCCTATTGGCTAGAACACAACAGGGTGGAAGAAACAGAAAGGGAAATATTGGTGTGCCAGAGAGATCATATGGCTATCAAGGAAACTAGAGATAAAGAAGGGGCCAGCCTTGCTATTTTTATAAAGACTTGCTCTTTTGAGAACTCACTCCCAAGAGATTGGCATTAATCATTTCTGAAGGCAACACTCCAAATGAGCTAATGCTTTGTACTAGGTCCTACCTTTTAAAGGTTCCATTCCCTCTTAAAACTGCTGCATTGGGGACCAAGCCTCCAGCATATGAACACCAAAAGGCAGACCACATCCAAACCATAATGAGGTGTAATATTGTAGAACAGATCTCCAGGACTAATTCAACTTGCTTGACTGAAACTGTATGGCTATTTATTAGTAACTCTCCATTTCCCCCTCCCCCAGCCCCTGACAATTACTATTTTATTCTTTGATGCTATGAATTTGACTATTTTAAAATCCTTCAGTATTTGATAACAGGGATGAACCTTGAAGACATTATGCTAAGCAAAATTTACTAGACACAAAGACAAATACTATACAATTCCACTTCTATGAGTTATCTATTTGAACATTTCTTATATTTGAACTAGTCTGAGTATTTTAACTAAAACTAAAATAGTAGACCAATAGGTAGGCACCACAGTGCAAGGAAGACTATTTCACATAGTGTTCCCAGTACTCAGACCCTAGAAGCATTTCTACTTTTTTAAACTAAGCTCTGAAAGTTGGAAAAGCAATCTACAATTACTTCTATATTAGAGAAAAATAAGAAATCACTTATAATGGAATTTCCATTTCTAACAATAAGTTAAAATTTGTAGTAGAAGGTTAGAAGTAAGTTTCATTTTATCATTAATATTTTTGATATAAAATGTTTAGTTATTAATTTAATTTCCTCATCATAACTTAATATGCTAACCAGTATCTCAGCTTAATGTCTACAATTTTATTTGCCAAGCTAAAAACTTTTACTAATAACATATTGCAATTTTTAAAGCTTTATCCTAGGATTCACTCACATTTAGAAGGCCTGATTACTCAATCAAGATACTTAAATAAAATATATTAGTTTATTAACTTTAATTCCATGTCAGGGATTAAAATTGATATGCCACTAGCTTTCATTAAGTCTTTTTACTTCCCACTATAGCTCTCAGAAAACAAACAAATAAATAAATAAATAAAATCTGTGGCTATTTAACCCACAGTTCAAAGCTGTTGGGCACACAGCATGAGTTACAGTCCAGAATTCCACTCAGATTTCTTTTCACAGAAACAGCTGCATTCTCAATGGAGAATTTAGCTTGGGAAGTAGCCAGAAAAAAAAAAAAAAAAGGTTTTTTTAGATGCTTGTGTTACTCTCCAAAGAATCTTCCATTTTAAAATTAAACCTAAACCTGTCGACCTCTCTAAACATCTGGGCAGATTAGAGCTGATGCATGCTTCCCGTGGCAAAATTTATTAGTCTTTATGATAGCTGTTGTTCTGCCTTTGGCCAGCCCACAACCACTGGAAGCATCTTAGGCAGCTAGTGAAGCCAGATTTAAAGTTAGGTAGTCAGTGTAGTTAGATAAATCGGGTCTAATGCCGAGTGAAATCTAAAATGGAGGCCATGCTGGCAATGATTTCTGGAAACGCAGGACAACTCATGGAATGTTAATGAAGTCCCGAAAAGGCCCTAGGCCAAAGTCCACCTCAAAGAAATGTTATTGAACAGCCCCCAGCAAAAAGGTGCTGACTCAGAAGTCCTTCCTGACCAGATTACTTCTTTGGCCCACCTGTGTCCCACCCCTCGGGCCTTCCCACCTACATTCCATCACTGAAAGAACTATAAAAAGGGGAGACAACATCCCTTCCATGGATTCCACCTCTTGGGTCCCCTTCTTCCTCCGGGAGAAGTCTTTTCTGCTGTCCTTTAATAAACTTCTAATTTCTACTCTGACCTTGCCTTCTTTGGTGTTATTCTTCAACATTGGGGAAGCAAGGACTCGTCACCGGTCAACAGCGGTAACACTAGTTTAGCCCAAGCAGGTAGTTTTTGTGGGGAGTATATGTTTAAGGCACATGCCCACATCCAGCTGATGAGGGCTTTCTAAGCTATTGCTCTAAAAAAGAGCTCTACTAACCAGGAGGATAGAGGAAGCCGTAGGTGATTTTCTCGTCTGGAAAAGACAAGGAACAATTTTGGCTCTCAAAAGAAGTAACCCTGACATCAACCCGCAGACAGTCTGAGACAGTGGGAGGAGGAGGCGATGTGTCTCCCTGCTGAAAGAGAGAAAAGAAAAAAAAAAAAATTACACCCACAGTTGTGGCTCACCCATTGCCTTATATGGTTTATAACTTCCCTAGAGTGTTTTTCATTTAACCTCTTCCTATTTTCTTAGTGAATCAGGTCTACGCAAGCAATGCAAATGGGTGTTTTCAGCAATGTTTTCTTGTTTTCTGTGGTTCCCTTCCGGTTAGAGGACATTGGGAGGGCAAATCAAATGCGTCTTGGAAAGGAATCTTTGCAAACTAAAACCTGAATTGTGAACAGAGGAAAAATGGAAGCATTGTCAGAACCCAAAATCTTTTTCAGGATCAAATTTTTATGTGGTGATATATCATGTACATTCAAACAAAAATTGAAAATAAAATAAAAACAATTTATTTTAGAACTATAGACATGAACTGGACAAGAATTTCTAAATAACTTAAGTTTAATTCAAAGAAGATGTAGTTATCTAAACATACTTATTTTTGGACTTAAATAAATTTGTATCTATAATTCACTCATCATGAAATAGGAATTTTCTTTAAATAATTGTCTTTGTAACTCTAAAGACTAATACAATAATTTATTCACTGGGGATATCTTAAAAATGTGCTGCCTAAGCTCAGTATTTAGGGTAACATATTGCATGTTCATTATATTTTACTTAGAATATTACTATGGGTAAGTGAACATTATACAATTTGTTTAATTTTTCAGAGTTGATTTATATGTCTTCTACTGCCCACCATGGATATTTTTCTTAACAAACTTGAAATAATTAAAAAATAAAGTTAAATTAGTATGTTCTTCCTTTATTCACTGCACTGTGCTAAGAGCAAAAACTGGCTATGTTGTCTAAAATGTGTGGTCAATTTGCAAAGAAAAAGGCAATATACACACACCTATGCTGTAGTCATACGCAGGAGAATGCCACGTTGAGGTCTAGAGTGGGTAGCAGTTGAAATCAAGGAGAGTCCAGGGAAAGCCAAGAAGAGATTATACTCCCTACCATACTATAAAGCTCCAGTTGGAAAACAAACAGTAGTTGAGCAAACTTCTCAAACTGATTGAACACATACATTTATCTTTACAACCTTCTCAAATTCGATGAGGGAAAAAACAGTCACAATGAAGTTGCCAAGCAGATAAACAAGTAGTAATCTGATTGAGTAGATCAGTAAACAGTGACCACCAAGAGCCTATGACTAGGGAAAACAGAAAGAATTGGATTCTTACTGTAGAGGCCCAGAAGGATAGAACTTGGAGTCTACCAGAGAATGTATGTAGTAGGTAGGACTAGAAACAAGAGGACAGGTTAGAAAGGCCATGTAAAATGTTTACTCTCTGGAGAGTTTAAACCAGAGAGATGCCCAGAGTAAAGTTCAGGCACAAAGGGCAGGCACACCATATTGAAAACAATGGGATTAAATAAAACTCCCAATCTCATTACTCCATTTAACCTGCAAATCATATTCACTGGGTCAGATCCGAAGTGCTCTGTCTTTGGAAAACAATCAAACCTGAAAGTAAAACTAGATACTTACAATTGGAAGTCTAAAACAAAATGGCTGGTAGCTTCCTAATCAACCTATAGAAGTCTATGAGCTTGAAAGCCCTAACCATATTTGCTGCCTCCCCTTAATGATTGAGCTGACAGCAAAGGACCACCTCAATGAGGGTGGGAAAGAGGAACCAAGAAGAAAAAAGAGACAATATAGAGAGCAGAAGAGAACTCTCAGAAAGAGTATATACAGCAAAAATAAAGAAAATAAGAAAAGAGATAACAGAGGTCTTGGAATTTTAAAAAATGGGACAGCTGAGACAAATATTGAATATGATCTGGAAGGTGAAATTATAATGTCTCATAAAGTGAAATTAAAGACAAATACATGGGGGAAAGTATAGAAAATATAAGCATATTAGACTATGAATCCAGAAATATAATGTCCTATTAACTTAAAAAAAAAATCTCGATTCCTCCCGGTTTCAAAATGCTGCCGAGGGCTTAGGACCTGCAACTGCCACCCCTCCCTCCTGGGTTCCAAGGGGGAGCGACTCATGGATCGACCATAAGTTTTATCTACAGACTGCAGTTTCTTCAGTCAAAATGACATCATATTCCACCTCTGCCCAGTGTTCAACATACGACAGTGCTTGCAGGATCTCTCTAGAATGAGTCAATAAGGTACAACCAAAATTGCACTTTTGAAGATTTTGCAGGCAGCAGGTGCACAAGGTGAAATGTTCACTGTTAAAGAGGTAATGCACTATTGTAGGCCAGTATATAATGGTAATTATGATCCATAGGAGCAGCATATGGTTTATTGTGGTGGAGATATTTTGGGAGAACTACTGGGACGTCAGAGCTTCTCCATGAAGGATCCAAGCCCTCTCTATGATATGCTAAGAAAGAATCTTGTCACTTTAACCACTGCTACTATAGCAAAGTGCAGAGGAAAGTTCTAATTCCAGGAAAAGAACTGAAGAGGGTGATGTTCCCGCACTAACTACCTCAGAATATAAATGCAGAAATTCTAGAGGAGATGAAGACTTGATAACTTTAAGCCAAGATGAGACATCTAGGTTGGACCTTGGGTTTGAGGAGTGGGATGTACCTGGCCTGCCTTGGTGGATTTTAGGAAACTTGAGAAACAATTATACACCTAGAAGTAATGGCTCAACTGATTTACAGACAAATCAGGACATAGGTACTGCCATTGTTTCAGATACTATGGATGATTTGTGGTTTTTAAATTCGTCAGTTTCAGAGCAGTTAGGTGTTGGAATAAAAGTTGAAGCTGCTGATACTGAACAAGCAAGTGAAGAAGTAGGGAAAGTGAGTGACAAAAAGGTGATTGAAGTGGGGAAAAATGATGACCTTGAGGACTCTAAGTCCTTAAGTGATGATACTGTTATAGAAGTTACCTCTGAGGATGAGTGGCAGTGCACTGAATGCAAGAAATTTAATTCTCCAAGCAAGAGGTACTGTTTCCATTGCTAGGCCTTGAGGAAGGATTGGTATTCAGATTGTTCTAAATTAACACATTCTCTCTCCACATCTGACATCACTGTCGTGCCCAAAAAGGAAAGTGAAGGAATTGATGTCCCTGATTGCCAAAGAACTGTTTCAGCTCCAGTTGTTAGACCTAAAGATGCATCTATAAAGGAAGGAAATTCTAAACTTTTAAATCCCTGCAACTCAGTAGAATTCTTGGATTTGGCTCACAGTTCTGAAAGCCAAGAGACCATCTCAAGTATGGAAGAACAATCAGATAATGTCTCTGAGCAGAGAACAGATGTAGAAAATATGGAGGATTGCCAGAATATCTTGAAGCCATGTAGCTTGTGTGAGAAAAGACCACGAGACGGGAACATTATTCATGGAAGGACAAGCCATCTTACGACTTGTTTTCACTGTGCCAGAAGACTAAAGAAGGCTTGGGCTTCATGTCCTATTTGCAAGAAAGAGATTCAATTAGTTATTAAGGTTTTTATAGCATAGTTGAATCAATTGCAAAGAAATATTAATTAGGAGCACCAGGTCATGTACGGAAATGTCAGTATTGCCTGTCTCTACTAAGTATAACCCATTTCATGTGTTCATTTGTGCATGTAAACATCAAAAAAATCTCTAAAGTTTTAAATCCAATTGAACCATCAACTTAGTACACAAGCAGAATCAAAACATTTTGAGACATCCACAGTCTCAAACATGCATCTTCTTTTCTTCCTTTCTAAGGAAGCTCTTAAGCAATAGTTCTAACAAAGCAAGAAGTAAATGAAGAAATATGAAGATATTTGTGTTCAATGCATTGGATTACCTCTCATTATTTATTCTGCTCTCCTTCAAGAAGCAGAATCTGAAAAACTAAAACCACTCATTTATATTGTTTCAAAAATATACCATAGTGAACAGTTCTGAACAACCAGTTTCTCCACTTGGCAATAAAATGGCACACAAATATGTTGTAAAAATGGGAGCATGGGGACAATGACTGCTGACTGAGTCAGCCCCATAAATACCAAAAAAAAAAAAACGAGTTTGCTATTTCCTTTTTTTAATCTAACCTCTCATATGTTTAATAAGTTTCTCTTAAAGAAATATAAAATACGTAAATGTAGCCACAAAAGCATTAATCTATAATGTAGGAGAACTGGAATGCCTATATCCAACAGTTTAAATTATGAAAATGTGAAGGGAAGTTTACTGTTATTTTTCATGAGACTATGGCTATAAAAGTTGTGCTCAAAAAATTTAGTTGGGCAATTGTTGACCATTTTCTAGAAGTAGCATGCATGTGGGGTTAAGAAAAATGGGCCAGAAAGAACTAAAATAAGTTACATGTTTTCTTCTAACTGAAAATCTTGAAATTTATTTCTCACATATCAAACTCGAACCCCCAAGTAGACATGAATCAAGACTAGGAAAGCAGGATGTGGCCTTATTTATGAAGGTGAGACGATGCCAAAGGCAGCCTCTAGAAGGACAGAGGGAGTGGAGGTCATGTCCTTCCTGAGCCAAGGTCTCATGATAAAAGGCGATGGTGAAGCACTACTGCCACATAGCCATCACCACCACCACCCCCCCCCCCTCAACACACAGAGAAACAGCCTCAGTTCTGCCCTCTGTTCAGAGTCCCTGGTACTTCTGAAGCCAGAGAAAACTCAGAAACACACAAAAAAAGGGCCTAATAAGACACTCAGATAAAATCTCAAATCTCTACCTCTTCAAATCTTCAAGAGAAGCAGATGATGAGAATAGATGGGAAAATGAGATGGTTCTACTTCTGGTATGACAAGGGGACAAACAGAACTTAAACAGGAGACGAATTTATTTTGATTAATACTTTCTCCTTACTGTGGGCCAAATGTAAAAGTTAAAGCATACTTATTCAAAGATTGGATAGTTATAATCTTGTCTTATGGTAAGGATAATAGCTATACTTTTAAATGCTATAGTTTTGTTTGTCTGATTGTATACTTTTTTTCCTCAAAGAGAAAATTATTTCTCATGGTTAAAAAAAGTTTCTAAGATATAATAAAATCATAATTTTTTAAATACTTACAAACATGGTTAGGATAAGGTTTAGACACACAAAAAAAGGCTTTAAAAATACAGCAATTTAGTGAATGGGTGATATATACATAAACATTATAATATATAACATTATATTTATGTACATTAAATGGGGCATTTTCACAGAACAATAGATTTTTCTCCTTTAAAAAGTCTTTTGATTTCATTAAATTTCTAAAGTATCTATTCTAAATAACTATCACGATTCTTGCTTTTATTTTCATATTTTTAGCTACCAACAGAAAAACCAGTTCACATCTTCCTTTTGAACAGACCCAGAAGCAAAATCCACCTACATCCTGAGCAGTCTTCCTGGTTTAGAAGCAGTTGTAGGACTGTGATTTCAAGTCACAACTACTTACCCAGAACTCTTCTGAGATAACAACAAAAGTTAGAAAATCCACCAAAACCACAAAAAACCTAAAACTCTGTAAAACTAAAGGCGTGGACTAATGGGGGCTCATGTTCCAGACTTATTTAAAGTCTGATTTTTCAGACACAGGGTTGATTTACAACATTTTTATGTGAATCTCAAAACATCCTTGTATGTAATTTTCCTGAACCACAACACATGAATGGAGCAATTTCTGAATTAGAAAGCAGAAAATTGCTAGAATTCCATCCTGTCACATGGAGGGAGAAATAGACAAGTCCTTCTGTGGGATCAGAGAAAGGACAGGATCTTTTGGTAACAAAGAAGCTAGTTTTAAAACAATAACAAAGAAGAATTGTACTAAATTCCTCCTCTGCACTGACTTATAATCCCTCTGCCTCTGGTTTCCGCCAAAGCTCATACAAATTCAGGAATGCAAGACAGCAGCGGAAATTGTTAAAAACATAAACATTCCCTTCAACTCCACAGAATCCCTGGTACCTGCCTGGACTTTTCAAAAGAGAACTAAAAATAAGACTGACCTTGAATATGCCTTCCCTCTCAAAAGCAAAAATAAAATAGAAATTATTTTATGGAATGTTAAAGAAAATCACAAAGAATTGCACATTGTGCCTATGAAGAAGAGTAGTTGCCACCAGCCACAAACATGAACTTAGGTAACTGCTGGTGAAATATTTGTCCACACTGGGAAACATACATCAGTGCTCTGTGACCAGTGATCACAATCAAACCACGTCGATAGCAGAGCTGGCTTTCAGAATACACAAAAATTTAATTAGTAACTGGAAAATATGCTTACTTTTCTCTAAAATTCTTGAACTGGAACAAGAAGGGTAGTTAAACCGGATACAACCAATTACTTTCTTAGCAAGAACTGTTAACAGCTAGAGTTCATCACATGTCTGCTCTAAAATACTATGATTATCTCTACAAAAACAGAGTCCTGATTATTTATTTACCCTTCTGGATAGCTGTACAACTTTGTCTCTAAAAGTCTTTTAAAATAATGTTTGAGATTTATTCATCTAATACATTCCATTTAATAAGATTTAATGAGCATTTTAGTAGCCAGGGATACTTCATAACCACTCCTGCCCTGAAGAAGCTAAGTGTTTAGGCTGATTTTACCTTTTGTTTTGATTTACATTTACCTGACTGTTAATGAAGTTGAATTGCTTGGCTCATATCTTTTGTCCACATATTGACTAGGATGATTTTTACTCTCATGTCTATTCACAGATATTATTATCTTTTCTGGATTCTAATTACTATTCTGGATCTTTATCACTTGTTTTTTATATGCAATGCAAATATACTGTCCCATCCATGACTGTCATTGTCACACATTAATGTTAATATGGTCCAATTAATTTCCTCTGAAATTTTATTGTTATTGTTGTGTTCTTAGAAATCATTCTCTATCCTAAGGTCATAAAGATATGCACAAAGGAAAATATGGATTTGTTGTTCATATTTCGGCCTATAAATCCACTAGAAACTTAATTTTGTGTATAGTGTGAGGTAAGTATCTAAGATTTTCTTCCTCATGGGTAGTTAAGCATCTTGGCACCATATAGTGAAAGGAAGTTTGCCAGACAGTGAGGAGGGAAGAGGATTTAAATAAATGGATTCTCAACCTTGGTCTGGAGAGACCTGTGATGTAACACATCTGCTCAGGTAAGTTGAGCCTAACTCATCAGAGTGCTTCAGCCTTCAGGGAAAGATCATGTCTTCTTCACACTCTGCTCCTTGTTCCTTCCACAGCACACAGCAGATAATAAAGTACTTGTTAAATAGTAAAAAAAAAAAAATAACAAGCCCTTTTTGACCTGGCTACGGTATCTTCTACGAGCACCCACTGTTACTAGAGAACAGTGTCTCTGTACTTCCTGTTGCTTCAGTTTCTACTGCTTTACCAATTGGCAAACTGGCCTATAAAAACTCTCTAATCAAAACACAATGTAGTTCTCTTTTGCACCAAACAGCACCTATCAAAGGCTTTATGTAATACCTGGAACATTCTCTTTATAAGCTACAGGCAAATGAATACCTTTTGTGATTGCTACAAAACAAAATTCAATGCTTACAATGGTAAAGAATTACCAAGTTTTTCCAGCCTGCATGGATCAATGGACTCAGGAACTTACTGGCTTGGGAACTGTGTATGAACTCCACATAGGTATCTTCATAGCTTTTGCAAATCCAGTGATGTATTCTCTGTGGTAGAGGAGACAGTGATCCTTGTTCTTCTGCATAACCCTGGGCCTCCCAAATGGCAAATTTACTTTCATTGTTGCAATTACTAAAATGAAAATAATGTAAAATAAAAATATTTGTGAAAACAGCAAGTGCTTCTATGCATATAATTACCCTCTGGTGGCTTATTTATCAGGTATTCTAACGAATATTTTATATATTTAACCTTTTACAACTCATAACCACTCTGTAAGGTAGGTGTTACTATCCCATTCCACAGATCACAAAACTAAGGCTTAGGTAAGTAACTTGGTTAAGCAAAGGGCTAAGAAAAGATGTGAAGCTCTCTTTTGCTTTTTATGTTTTATATCTCACAAGATATAACCAAAGAAGATGAAATCTTAAAACCCAAAGTGCCTACTTTACAACAAAGATGATGTACTTTAATAATTCCATAGGAAATATATTGGAATTTTTTTTAAAAAGTAAGTCTTCTATGGTCTGAATGTTTATGTCCTTCCAAAATTCATGTTGAAATCCTAATCCCAAAGGTGGTGGTATTTGAAGGTGGGACCTCTGGGAAGTCCTTTAAGTCATCAGGTGAAGTCCTTATCAAAGGTAATTAGTGCCTTTATAAAGATGAGACTCCAGAGAGATTCTTGCCCTTTCAGCCACATAAGGTCAGAATACAAAGGCCATCTATGATGAAGTGGGCCCTGGCCAGACACTGAATCTGTTGGCAATTTAATCTTGGACTGCTCAGGCTCCAGAACTATGAGAATAAATTTCTGTTGTTTATAAGTCACCTGCTTATGGTGTTGTTATAGCAGCCTGAGAAGATGCAGACTGTATCCTAATGTCTATTAATTTGTTTCTATCATATTTGATTCAAACTGACTGCAGATTGGAAATATTGACAAAACATTTCCTGAGCATGTAAAGATTTTTTTCCTTGTCATTTCCTCCTAAACAAAACAGTATAATAACTATTTACATACCATATGTATTGTATTAGGTCTTACAAGTAGTCCAAAGATGATTTAGAGTTTATGGGGGAATATGCATAGTTCGTTGAAAATACTATGCCATTTATATAAGGGACTTGAACAGCTGCAGATTTTGCTTATCTGCAGGGAGTTTTGGAACAAATCCCCTGCAGATAACAAGAGATGGCTGCCATCCCCATTTTATAAATGATGAGACTGAGGTTTAGAGAGTTTAACACAAGAATACTTAGAAGATAACAGGAAATAGAGGCATTGCTATAGGCCAGGCACTTGTAAATCATTTCCATGGATTAGCTGTTTTTATCTTTACAACTACATAAAGGGGGTATGATTTTTGTAGATGAGGAGTTAGAGGCACAGCAAAGGTAAATGATTTGCCCCAGGTTCCACAGCCAGGAACCAAGGAAATGTGGTGTGTCCACACCTTAGGAAAGGAAGAGGGGGCCTCAGACAAAGCACAGTTATTTCAAGGAATTTTTCACAATCTTGGAACAAGTGCAACTCTCCTGGTGTTTGGCACCCTTTGTTATTAGACCCCTGGGGTTTTCCCTCTGATTTCTTGGCAATGAAATCTTTAAAAGCCTCTGTGAGCTTATTTTGGACAATCCCCAAAGAGCAATATTGTGTTTTATTAGTTCTAAATATCAAACACTTAACATAGACTTTACTGACTTACTTTCTTCTTCAGTCAGATTTAGCCTTAGATTCATTTGTTCCAGATTGAGAGCCTATAAGATAACAGGGAAGGGAAGAAGGTAAAAGTAATAACATGTGTCAAAGAATGATCAATATTTCTTCTACAGTAATCACCTGAAATGCTTTACTACTGAAACTTTACTTTCTTTACTAGTGAACAAAGACAACAGACTAACATGGGTTTAAATTCCAATTCTGCCACTACTTAGAAATAGCATGCTACTGCCCCCCCATTCTGTGTGTCCATGTGTAGGAGTTGGCAAAGATATAGTTGACAATGGGACAAAGTATTCTGATGGCAGCTGGAATCAACAACAAAGTCAGGATGATAGCCAGTACTTCTCAAGTTTGAAATGCTTACAAAACTCTTGAGAGTTTGTTAAAGTACATATCATGATTTCATAAACCTGGGTTATGGCCTGAGATTCTGCATCTCTAAGCAACCCACAGGTCATGCAGATGCTGGTCTTGGATCCTACCTCTTTGAGTACGGAGAGACATTTTTCACAGAGAGGAAATTTCTGTTTGCAGTCAGATAGACTAACTTTAGTGAGATTTGACATTTGTTTCATTTCTTCCAGATTGGTAGACTGTAAGATAACAAGACGAGGAAGGGAAAGAAGTTAAAGTAATAACACATGTCAAAGAATGATCAATATTGTGCTGGGGTTGTGGCTCAGTGGTACAGTGCTTGCCTAGAACATGTGAGGCACTGAGTTTGATCCTCGGCACCACATTAAAAAATAAATAAATAAAGTTATGTCCATCAACAACTAAAAATATATTTTTTTTAAAAAAGAATGATCCATATTACTTCTGCAGTAATCACACAAAGTGTTTTACTAGTGAAACTTTACTTTGTTTACTAGTGAACAAAGACAACAGACTGAAATTCTGATTCTGCCACTACTCAGAAATACAGATAGATGCTACTGCTTCTCCATTTTGTGTGAATTGGCAAAGGTATAATAGACAATGGAACAAAGCATTCCGATGGCAGCTGGAATCAACAATGGAGTCGGGATGGCAACTGGTGCTTCTCAAGTTTAAGGTGCATACACCTCTCTTGAGGGTTTGTTAAAGTACATATCGTGATTTCATAAACCTAGGTTATGTATCCCTAGGCAACCCCCAGGTCATGAAGATGCTAGTCTTGGATCCATACCTCTCTGATTAGTAAGAGACATTCATTACAGAGAGGATATCTTTGTCTGCATTCAGATAGTTTAGCTTCATTAGAAATTAGCATTTCATTCAATTCTTCCAGAGGGCTACCCTGTAAGATAACAAGACAGGGAAGGGAAGAAAGTAAAAGCTATTATTACTTCTGCAGTAATCACATGAAGTATTTTACTAATGAAACTTTACTTGTTTACTAGTGAACAAAGACAACAGACTAACATGGACTTAAATTCCAATTCTGCCTCTAGTCAGAAATACAGAGGTGGTACAGCTCCCCCATTCTCTCCCTGCCCACCGTGTGTGTGTGTGTGTGTGTGTGTGTGTGTGTGTAGGAATTGGCAAAGATATAATTGAAAATGGGACAAAGAGGCAGCTGGAATCAACAATGGAGTCTGGATGACAGCCAGTGCTTCTCAAGTTTGAGGTGCATACAAATCTCTTCAGGGTTTGTTAAAGTGAATATCATGATTTCATAAACCTTATGGTTATGGCCTGAGGTTCTGCATCTCTAGGCAAACACCAGGTCAAGCAGATGCTGGTCTTAGGTCCATACCTGGTATACAAAAAGACATTCTTTATAGAACAGAACTCCAAGTTTGCAGTCAGATAGACTAACTTTCTGTGACTTTGGACAATTTGCCTAACTTCTCTGAGCCCTCTTTTTCCCTAAAATGGGGAATAAAATACCCAAAGCCCACTTTATATTATCATCATCATCATCATAATTTAATGGCCATTCTATTGAGGTTATCTGGAATAGTGGAAACCTGGAACTGAGGTTATTAGGGATATCAGGTAGGAAACCCACACCCCTACTCTTATCTTTGCTATGAAGTTATAATTTTATAATTACTGAGAAGTTTTACTGTTTGTCTCTTAATGTTTTTTTTTTTTTGGTTGGGTATTTCTTTATGTATGGGTGTAATTATAGCTTGAAGATTAGAGAATATAAAGTCTTCACCAGCCCTTGACCATAAGGAGCAATTCTTACCTGAGGCAGCCAGTATTTATTTAGCTCTACAATCACATTTTGAACTTGGCATCAAATATATGTTGACATTCATTTTATCTTGACAGCTCCTGGGTTCCAGTTTTGTTCAGAAATCCCAACCCACCCAGGTGATCTGATTCTCTAAAGTGGTGCTGGTCTTTGTATTTTGAGCACCATTATGTATATGTGCCACATTTTATTTTATCTATTCATCCACTGAAGGGCATCTAGGTTGGTTCCACAGTTTAGCTATTATGAATTGTGCTGCTATAAACATTTATGTGGCTGTCTCCCTGTAGTATGCTGTTTTTAAATCCTTTGGGTATAGTCTGAGGAGAGGGATAGCTGGGTCAAATGGTGGTTCTATTCCCAGTTTTCCAAGGAAAATCCAAACTGCTTTCCAGATTGGCTGCACCAATTTGCAGTCCCACTAGCAATGTATGAGTGTGCCTTTTTCCCTACATCCTTGTCAACACTTATTGTTGTCTGTCTTCATAATAGCTGTCATTCTGACTGGAGTGAGATGAAATCTTAGAGTAGTTTTGATTTGTATTTCTCTAATTGCCATCAATGATGAACATTTTTTCATGTATTTCTTGATTGATTGTATATCCTCTTCTGAGAAGTGTCTGTTCAGGTCCTTGGCCCATTTATTGATTGGACTATTATTATTATTATTGGTGTTTAGCTTTTTGAGTTCTATATATATCCTAGAGCTTAGTGCTGCATCTGATGTGTGAGGAGTAAAATGTTGCTCCCAAGAAGTAGGCTCCTTCCCCTTTTAGGGCACTTGGAACTTCACCTTTTTGAGAATCTCCTGGAATCTGAAGTCTTACTTCCGTACTCAGTGTTGACTGCCAGCTGATGCTCAGACCAAGCCCTGATCTATTAACAGCATCTTTCCAGTGTCTACTGTCTATCAATAAGTGTCTAAGTGGTGCCTGATAGAGACTCTCCACTGCTACCCAAAGAAATACTTCACAGAACCTACCCTTATGAGTGTGTCTAATGCCAGGTTACAATTCCTGCACCCTTCCAGTTCGTTCTATTCTAAATGGCCAAACATGACCATCTGATTCTCCAACTTTAAGAATCGTTTATGAGCAAATCAAAAAGAGATCCAAGATTATTTTGAATGGTTGCGGCAATTAGTTCATAGTGGGATTAACAATTCCTTTCCAAATACAGCTTTCCAATTTTCAAAGTATATTCACATACTTAATCTTATAATGCATACATTAGAATTCCTAATTTTCAGATAAGGTTTTGAAAAACCACATGTGTACTTAATAATCCAAGCCATAACAGAACCCTGGTTATAGACCAGCTTGCCCCTTTACATTTATAATCTTATGGATGCATGAAGTTGTTACTTACATCTTGTGTCTTAGGACATGAACAGTTTAAAAATCCCGTGGGCAACAGAGTTGTAACTCCACAAACTGACAATGTTGACACTTCCTCTGCATGTGATGGTTCATAAAAAGGCACCTTCAGAAGATGGTTTAGACTACCATGGGTACCATTGTTTGGTGCTGGTTGAATGCGTAGGAGATCTGTTTTAAACAAATAAGTTCAAAACAGTTTTAAATTGGAAGGCAATGACTCCTGTGTGGGAGATGGGAAACAACATCTACTGTTTCATTCATTTAATAACTTCTGCTGTAACCCAGCCATGTACTGAATGTGCCATTCAGTTTACTGAATTTCATCTCCCAGAGCTCCAGCATCTAGTCTTTCCACATTAGCTCAATCCCCATAGATGAACCATAGGAACTTCCATGAATTTTTTCTGTCCCTCAGGAGAAAAGCTGCATTGCTAAAAGGATCACTTTGTTCCTTAAGCATACCATGATTTTTTAGAATAAAATGCTATCCTCTTAAGTAAAAACAAGTTTAAAGAAATTAAATAATTTATAATCTTACTTATGTTTACTTAGCTATATGAAAATTCTCTAAGAATGGATACTTTAAAAAAATTTAACTAGTGAATTTTGCTTAATATTTAGAGAACTTCTATTTTTTTCGACAACAGGACATAAACATATTTTATAAACATAGCCTTTTACGTGGCTCTTGCTGACTACTACATAAGAGAGATCTCTCCTCAAATTAGAGTTCTACTAACCATTTCCACAAAGGGCCAACAACCCTGGCCGCAAACCCAGCAGCTGTGGAAACAAGAATTTAGTTGTTAAGACTACAAAACACTATTTTAAAATGGGTACTTTTGGGTCTCTAAGTCACCCTCAATTATGACAGGACAGTAAGATTAAGAGAAATAATTGTGCGTATGCTTATATCCATCTAACAGTGAAACAGCAGCTTTCTCCTTGCCTTACCAGGCAAGTGATTTGAGAGTACATTAGACTAAGGCAATCATGTAGATTGAAAGGTAGATTAGGTTCCCTAAGACTCCTATTCTTTTTAGTTCTTCAACCTGAGTATAATAACAGGTGTCTAGCCAAATAGGACTTTCTCACCATCTTTCTATGCCGGGAGACTTCTCCTTAGGATTACAAGAAAGTACTTGTGTTTTAGGTATGTTTATCTTTCTTTGAAAAGTTGGAAATGTTATTTTATTTTTCTGACTTTTATTAAATTATCATATAGCAACTAACTGATAGAAAAGCATGGTTTCCTAAGATCTACGGTTTAACATTACTAAGAAAACAAAAATGAATTTACTCTTAAGGCTGAATAATTCTGGATAATAAATAAAAATTTCCCCCATCTTTTCTACTTCCTGTCTTAATGCACAACATCTAGCCTTAGAATTCAGTTTGTCCCCAGTTTCAAACTACACTATATTAAAAAACTATCCACCTTTTGCTGGTGAATTTATTTATATATACTTACCACACAGTAGATTATACACTTCAATATTTTCAAATGGTTCAACTTCAGTCTGTTCTTTAAAACTGGGTCCATGTGCCAAAAAGAGAGCCTAGGTGGTAATAGTTATATAATTACTAGATAAAATCTAAATTCATTAATAATTTTAGGGAAAGACATCATTTTTCCTCTGTAACAACTCTCCTATTTACATCTTAGGCTTCTATAAGGATTTCTTTCCAGATTTGAAAATGATTTTTAAACCACTGCCACCTGCGATGTTGTATCTATTTTAATCCAATGCTGTGTTTACCTGTCTCTCCTTGCTTCCCTAGCACCTCTCAAGTCAACAACTAGGAGGACACAAGCAACAGAGGACAACCGATATCAGCACAATTCCATAGAATCTAGACATTACATATTAGAAATTTATTGTATAATACCATATGATGTTTTCATATCATTGCTCAAATATGTTAATACATGACAAGAAATGTTGATATACATACACTTCAATATTTTCAAAGTTTTGCATACCTTCCTAACTCACTCAATTCTCAAACACCTCATCCTTTTACTTTTGTGATGAAAAGAACTAAGTGTTCTGGTTTATATTTAATTATTACTAAAATTATATTATTCATAACAAATCTAATTCTAGTTGTTTATAATCTTACACAATTACCAAATATGGATAAACAATTCTTTTTGGTTAACGAGGAATACATAATTTTTCTAAGATGATCAGCAAAGAATTGGAGGCATGTTTTTCTTGTAGTCATGAATTTCATATCATATAGTAACCTAATTAATAGAAAAGCTCTGTTTCCAGAGATTTTTCAGGTATTTACAAAGTGATATAACTCACCATGGCAACATTGAGAGACAGTATGTTCCATAAAGAGCCTAACATTTTTCTCCCATTTGGAAAGGAGTGTGTGCATATGTGTGAGTGTTTGTGTGTGTGTGTGTGTGTGTGACAAATAGAACTAGATAAGACAATCAGAATGCAATAATTATAAAGCTTTGACTATGGAGGAATTTCAGCTACATTTTACACATAGATCACATAGATTCCTCTGTAGACTTTCTTCCTTGAACTTTCAGGGCTCCACATACACCACTTCTGATTTTCTTTCTTGCTTGCTGATGCCTCTACTTCTAGGTCTCTGCTCATAATTTTTTTTCTCTCCAATCTCTTCAAACAGAAGTGTTCCACTTTCAATACTTGGTCTTCCTATCTATATTCAATCCCTGAATATTTTACCTAGTCTTACATTTTTAATAATCTCTGTGCCTAAGACTAAAATTTTTTCCATCTCTGGGATAGATTCCTTAACTGCATATTCAATATCTCTATTTGCATGTTTAATAAATATTTCAAACTCAGCAAGTCAAACTGTCCTCTTGCTCCTTCCTTCCAAATCAGCAGCAGCCACAGTCCAGCATCCCTTCAATAGCCAAAGGCCCTCTTGTCTCCAAAACTAACCTAGGGCCTCTGCACTGGCAGTGTCCTCTGCTTAGGACATTGTTCTCTGAATACCTAAATGCTACTTCCTTCACCACCTTGGAGTCTTTTCTCAAATACCACCTCAGTGATTCTAACCCTTTCTACCCTTTTTAAAGTTGCATCCTGTCCCCAGGGCACCCCAACATACTCCACTTTCTCATCCGGCTTCACTTTTTCTGTATTCCATGGCACTTCACCTAACATATCAAATCATATATTCCTTTGTTTTGCCTTCTGTCTGCATCCCCTCTTTGAATAAGGCTTCTTGAGGGCCCTTATCTGCTCTATTCAGGATGTATTCAAGAGTTTTGGAGATTGCTTATCACAAAGATCAATTAGCATTTGTTTAATACAGGAGTACATTACCTGCATACTCTTAAACTCATTGTTATAACCATGGTTGCCTCCTCCACAGTATGAACTTCCTTTCCTCCTGTGAAGAAATATTATTATCATATACTGGTCAAAGTATTGATATGAGCCCTAATTGTAAAATGAGTTTTAATGGATTAATATAGCTTCTGTTTTTATATAAGTAATTTTTTCCTGTCGACAATAGCATAAATGTGTTTTTTTTCATGCTTGAATTCATAACCATAGAGTAGTAAGTAGAACGGTAGGACAGAAGAATGGAGAATTCCAGGGTCTATAAATAGAAGTCAAACTCTTGCACTCTTAGACATTGACAAAACAATAATTAAAAAGGCACAGATTAAAGAAAAAGAATTTATCTTCAAGCTCATCTGCACTTTTGTATGTCAATGACTATGTGATTAAGAAGAGTTTGATTAGTGTCATTTTAAGCATTTAAGTGCTTTAGGAATAAATCTTTGGCACTTAGAAGGAATATTAATTTCTATTTTACAGTGGAGATGTCCAGTGGAATAATATAAAAACATGAATAAAGAATACTCAGGGCAAATTAATTATAAAAGTTGGTAAGGAGTAACTAGTATATTCTGTAAATAAGAGTTTATTTTTAACTTTTGGTATTTTCTTCCCTAGGCTATTGCTCTGTTACTTGAATAACTTCTCAAATTCAATTAATTTGACTTTTGCCATGGTTAATCATTGAATTGAACAGTGTCAGCAATTTTTTGCACAGTTGGTTTTCATACTTAGAAAAAAAAAAGTACTGCTACATGAACCTAGATTTTCTTAAAGTTACAATATTGTACAGGTTCAAATTTGGTCTTTGAAGGAATAAGACTCCATTTTCCAAAGGCTGGCCTTAAAAGGTTTCTTTCATTTGCTTCCTCACACTTCACCTCCCAGGGAAACACACACACACACACACACACACACACAACTTCTGTTCATGTTTGCACTGAAGGCACAAGTGAGCACAGGACAGTAGTCTAGTGTCTTTAAAAAAAAAAATCAACATTTATCAAAATGACTCTCAGTTTAAGTACAAAATAAAAATAAAGTAAATCACAAAAATTAAATATAAATCATGGCTCTAACCAGGCTATGCTCAACTCTACCCACTAGTAGGAAGAAAAAAGAAATAAAAATAAACTGTAATACGGAAAGCAGTAGGAATCCTATTTATAAGGTGTTTCAATTCAGTTACCGGAAAGACATCAGCTCAACACCTTATCTTAGTGAATTCCAACAAAATTGTTCCTATAGGGTAGAACTTGTGCTAAAAATATATTTTTAGTCTTCTTGCACAGACATTTGGTTTCCCAGTGTTACTGGAATTATTTGATTGCAGATAACTAAGTTTTAAATTCTGTGTGAGAAACTAGAGTGCTCATTATGAAAGATGGAAAAGGTTTTTTTTTTTTTTAAACCAAATCTTTGTAATAAAATTTTCTAAAATTTGTCCCATGTTTATCTTTCTATTTTCAGAAAAATCCAGTATTTTTTTTAATATTTCCATTTCCTACACCTAGTTCAATGAGAAAAGATAGTAAATATTGCAAAATTTTGTTGTGAAGCAAAGATAAAAATATTGCATGAAAAAAAATCTCTATTTTTGCTTCTCAAGCAAAAACTTTAGAAATTTGCTCTTCAAACTGCTTAGGTTCTTTCTTTCCAACCATTAATTTGACTCTGGAAAGTACACACGGAAAAATGAGAGCTGACATTTGGAAAAGGTGAGTTGATTTTATCTGTCATAATTTAGCTCAACTTCTATCCAGCTGAAACCTGTGGAACAAATTTTCTATTATCTTTTCCCTGTCTAATTAACACAGTCGAAATCAAAGTTGAGTTTCTCTCCCACAGTTGGGTAATGACACAGGTGGTGATGAACAAGACTTCTCCGCTGATACCCAAGCAGTTGCCAAGACTTATCTTCTTTGTGATCTCCCCGTTGGTCCTTTCCTTCCCTCTTTTACTGCCACAGTTCTAGGCTGGATCCTCCTAGTCTCTGACTTGATCAAGTTCCCTGATCATCCTGCTTTCAAACTGTAGAATCTTCCTACATACCACACACATCCCTAATACTTTTGATTTTTTTTTAACTGCTGCTGGAAATGGAAATAATGTATAATGAATACAAATTTGAGATAGAATATGACCTAGAAAATATGGGTCATAGGTCAACCACAATACATTCCTGGAGATGTGCTATGTAACTGATTTCACCATCCCTGTGCTCCACACCCTCCTGGGGACTGTCATAACTCTGGGGAATGGGTCACCACACACCTTTCTAACAGGCTTCCTGTCTCTTGCTAGATCCTCTTCCTCATAAGGCAGCTAGAATAAGCTCTCTGAAACGCAAGTCTCACTATATTCGTAGCTACCAATGGTCTCCTACTTTGTTCAAGATGGAAGTCATACTTCTTAATCTTGACATATAAGTCCTTCATGCAGAGGGCAGTTTCATTCATGGGGTTATCCAGCAATATGGAACCACTAGCGACTATGCTCTCATTTTCCCTACCCTTTCTTGTCCCAGACCTAGGCTGGCTTTAAAAAAGCACCCCACTGACCTGGAGAGATCTAGAGAAAGAAACCCATCTTGAAGGACACAGTCTGGCAGTGTGCAAGGCTTGGCAAGCAGATGGCACCTTCCAGAAAAATAGAGGGTCGCGTTCCTCCTCTAATGCAGGAGGCAGCTGAGTGAGGATCCAGTTTTCAGGCCCTCTTGCCTTCTGGATGGGTGCCAGTACTGTGCACAGACTTCACGGGCATACCTACTGGCTGACAACATTTGGCTGGCCCCACCCAGAGGTATTCTGGTGGTGCACTTGTAACAGTGGTTCTGTCACCTTTTGAATGCAGCCCTCACTGCTCTAAGGCTTATTTAAAAAAAAAAAATGTTTTTTATTCTTTCTTCTCCTGTCTCCCCCTCCCTAACAAGATAAGGGAGACAGTGTTATCTTTTATTCCCCTAGTTAATTGTCCTTGAACACACCCAGTACTGGAAGGAGATGCCTGCTGAGAATCTGGGAAGTGAATATCTCCCAAATTAACAAGTGAATCTTAACACACCATCTGGGTACACTGGGGCTCCCTACCAGAGCACACCTGAAATGTAACCCTTGAAGTTCCTTTAAAAATCCCTTCTCTCCTGATCTAGAGAGTCACAGCCTTTGGGACGGGAGTCCCCTGTGTTTCTTCTTTGCTAGCAAAGCAATAAAACTTTTTTTTTTCCTTTTCTCAAAATCATGTTCTCATCATTAAATTGGCATTGACTGGCATTAGGGATAGGGACAGAGCTTTCGGTTACACACTCTTATTTCCATAACTGTTTCTCATTCTGCACCTGTGGACTCCTAACTTCTTTAATAGACCCCTAACAGTAAATATTTGAGAAGGTATCCCCATATGTATTATATATCATGTCCCCAAACTATTAACAATTTTAGCGTTTAATAAGTTTAATTTTATTCACATACATTAATTTGTTAATTTATTTTATTCACATTTTAGATGTTCACATTTAGATGTTGTCCTGAGCCGCAGTACAGCCACCAACAATACAAAGGCTCAAGAAACTCAGATCCAAAGGAGAGAGGCCAGTGCCATCTAGTGAACCCAATGTGGAACTGCATACTTGCTGGCTGACTGTAGGCTCTGCCAAATTCCCAGCTCCTTATCCTGCACTTACTTGTTGGAGCCCAATTCTCTGTCATCTTTCAGTGCCTCTTTCTTTGTCAAAAATATCTTTTAGCCACTGTATTTCCACTGCCATTGTAATCCCCTGGAATTAGGTTGCATACATATAAGTGAGGGGAGAAAATTCCACATGATCCTGATTCTGTTTGCATTCACTTAAGCACATGGAAACAAATACAGGAATAAAATTCAGAAAAGAATCACTCATTTAGCTACAAGAAATATATGTGTTTGTTTCCTGGGTCATTAATAGTCTTCTCCATTGCAGTTATACTCCAAGGGGGCAGAAATCCTGTCTGTATTCCAAATGCCTGAAGCAAGATCTGCATTTGATAAGTATGGCAAGCATTTGATAAATTTTGTTTGATCCATGAAGTCATTGGTTATTTGAGATGGAGTGATTCATACTGGTCTTTATTTTCTCAAGAACATTTATATTTTGCAAATGCTCAGTGATCAGCATGAATTATAATTAAAAATAAGAAATAAATGTTACAATTGGTTAACTTGGCTTTACCACCATAAGAAGGTTCTTTCATAACAAACACAATGATGACAAAGATCTTAAAGAGACTTCTAATCATTCAGTCACTCAAAGGATAGCACATTTGGGGATAGGAATGTGCTGTTTCTGATATCCCTGTAACACTGGCTGGTACACTCTCAAGTTTTTTCCTCATTCTCATCTATGTGGTAAAGATTAGAATGCTGAGATCAGTCATCAAACAATAATAACCTTAAGTGGAGAAGTGCTAAGCAGAATGAAAGGTCAAGGAAATGCCAATACTCAAGAACATTTACATGATCATAATAGTGAGGTAAGATTAAGTAAATTTATAATGAAAGATGATTGTTAAAAGTATTAAAAGTAAATAGACACAAACCTCATAGCCAGCCACTGTGGATCCATCATAAGATGAACTTTGTCAATTCTGATATTTTTGGCATAGTGTAGTCGTTTGGGCAAATCAGGAGTCAAATAGGGTTTAAAATGCTGATCGGATTTTTGGCACTGAAAAAAGGGTAAATATTTCTCCAATGAAAAAATATGCAAAATAAGTCAAAAATTTTCTAATGAGGCACTTTTTAAAAGTAGGGAGATTTAAGTTCAAGTTAATAAAATAGGAAAAGTAAATCTAAGGGGCTGGGGATGTGGCTCAAGCGGTAGTGCGCTTGCCTGGCATATGCAGGGCGCTGGGTTCGATCCTCAGCACCACATAAAAATAAAATAAAGATGTGTGTCCACCGAAAACTAAAAAATAAATATTAAAAAATTCTCTCTCTCTTAAAAAAAAGTAAACCTAAAATCAACATAATCAAATTCACTAAATATATTTTTATTGTTGCAACAATAATTAGGTTGAAATTTAAAATTTGATTTAAATTAGGAGCAGATATTTGATGTTTTATGGTTTTATTCCTGAGTATATATATTAAGCCACAATAAATCCCCCCTCTTGTTTTGACAGAAAACAGATATGTCTCAATTTTGAGTGGCAATTACATTTTTAAACTATATATAAATAACATATGAGATATTAGTAGATATGAAAACACAACTTAAAAATCAGTTTAGTTGCACTAATAATCCCAGCACAGCTTTTAAATAAACATTTGCTTGGTTTTCAAATCAATTCAACAGCTTTTGAAACCAAGTATAGTATTCCTATTTGTGAAACAAATTTATGGATTCATCTCAAATTAGAGTAAAATTTTATAAAATGTTGTTTCTCTAATAATTGCTACTGTAACTTTATGGCATATTTAAAAAGTATAGAATGCAAATTACTTGGGATTTATTAATGAAAAGAAAAATGAAGAAGTAGGAAACAATTATGAAGAAACTTTCTCTCATGACCTCCTTGAGAAACAAAAGAAAAAATGTTAAACATAAAAAGTAAGACCATGAGGAAATGAAATTTCTTCTAGTTCCTCATTTTCTCATATATTTTAAACCATAATATCTCATCTATATTATTAGCAAGTCTGTGTAACCAATAATCTCACATTCAACTTATAGAAGAAAAATGAGAAGCTATGAAACACAACTTCACAAAGCAAAATTTAAGAGAAATACAGAAAATGGGAGTGTACAGAGATTACAGAATGAAAGAAGAAAAAGAAAAGTATTTATTATACATCTATCAAACTTTTTTTCTTATCTATTTTGGTATCTTTTTCAGGCTTCTTATTTTCTATTTTTCAACTGTCATTACTTCCTTCTTAAGACAACATTTTTCTGATTTCCAGGCAGGTTCATGATGGCAGCTGCAGAGTATGCAGCTTCCTCACAAATGCAAGGGGATAATATGTGCTCCAGAGGACAACAGACAATAATTAGTCACACTCCCTTTCCTGGTGTATAGCTAGAATAGAACCACAGAAACTTGCGGGGCACAATGCCAACTTCTGAAGAAGTATAGAGATATTATTTACATTTGAGAACTTGGAATGAAGACACCAGAGTTGAGATAAAATTTGGTCACTTTAAGAACAAAGTTGGTGCTGATGTCTCTCATGTAGCCAGATGGTTGTGGAACTTAAATAGTTGCCAGTTCATGTCTAGTTATCTTTGTCCAATAAAAGGTCAATGTAGACCCATAGACTGGCACTACCACATGAAACATAAAATGGTAGCTCATTTCCTTGGGGGCTCTGTAGATCCAGACTCAGCTTATAACTGTGAAGCCATGTAAGGGAATTTCCAAAATCTGTGGTGCTCGATCCCCTTGCACCACTAGGATTATTAGAGATTTGACCTTCTTCACTAACACAACTTCATCTATATCTAGATCACAAAGTGAGGTAACAAAAATAAAACAGTATGTGGATTGTGAGAGTCCACATGTTGAAAATCTTGAAGTACCCCTCCACTCAGCATAAATAAACTTGTAATCCTGGGTGGTAGGTAAATGAGTAGGGAAAATTCCAGATAGCTTAAAAATTCCACTTGTCAAAGTGGCATGCACTAATTCTGGAGAAACCTAAAATGATCTTCCTTGGTAGATTTTTTGTTGGTGGGAGGTGGGGTTGGCTCAGGAGATTAAACTCAGCATGTTCTACTCTTCACCAGTAGGGGGCAAGATTGTCTATCATGCTTACTTAAGATCAAAGGATTAATGAGTAAAGGTGTAAGAGGAAAAAAAGAGTGATTAACACTCTATAGGATTTCTGCTCCAGTCACTCCTGCTTGGACCTTGCAGTGAGTCCCAAATTACATTAACAATTCTTTACCCCATGTTTTATCTTTAGGCACTTGCACCCCATTCTCACCATTTTTAATATAACTGCTGTCCGTTTATACTTAAATAAATTTAATCTCATGCCAAGCAATAATAAATTCATAAATTCTACATCATATATATATATATATATATATATATATATATATATATATATATATTTGTGAATATATTTTAAGTATAGAACCGTTAAAAACTACCATACAAAGGGCCTGGATGTCTAGCTTAGTGGTACAGCACATGAAGCCCTTAGTTCAACTTCCCACACCATAAAAAAACAAACAAAATTTCCGTGAGTTTAAGATCCACTATTTTAGATATTCAGTTGCACAAAAACTGAGAGAAATGGTGTGACCTAAAGCTCACTAGCATACCCTTTTTAATTTAATTTTTTAATTTGTTCTAATTAGTTATACATGACAGCAGAAGGTATTTTGATACATTGTATACAAATGAAACACAACTTCTCCTTCCTCTGGCTGTACATGGTGCAGAGTCACACCAATAATGTAATCATACATGTATATAGGGTAATAATGTCTGTCTCGTTCTATGCTTTTTCCCATCCTCATAGCCTCACCTCTCCTCTCACTTCCCTCTGAACAATCCAAAGTTCTGTCATTCTTCCCTAACACCCCCACCACACACACATACTATGGATCAGCATCTGCTTATCAGAGAAAATAATCAGCCTGGACTGGGGTTGTGGCTCAGTGGTAGAGTGCTTGCCTTGCATGTGTGAGACCCTGGGTTCAATCCTCAATACCACATAAAAATAAATAAACAAAATAAAGGTACTGTGTACAACTAAAAACTAAATATAAAAAAAAAGAAAAAAAGAAAACAATCAGCCTTTTTGAAAAGGACATCATCCCTTTCAATGAAAACTAGGAGTCAGGGTCTATGTTACCCCAAACTAATTTCCTATATTGGTGTCAACTAGAAAATAAAAACTAAGATGAATATGCATGTTGATGGAGAATAAAAAATAAACTCCAAGTAGTTTACTGTCAGAAATACATGATATAAATTTCTCAGAACCCAGATTAAGGTCATCACCATTAACTTAGATATATTAAGGAGACTATATACTTACACTGAGTTTCATAACAATTTCTTCAGAATTAACTGTTTCAAAAGAAAAGAATCACATTACAATTGATACTGGACAACAGCAAAAATTGTAAAGAACTAGGTGAATCTGACACATATTTATTAATAACTATGATATGGCAAAATTGAATAAAAGATGATTTCAAATGAAGAATTACTTTAGCACTTAAGAACAGAGTAGGATATATTTTAACTCAGCAATATTAGATATTACCATAGACTCTACAGATTGACTCTACTTAATCATGGGAATTTCTCATTGGCTTCTATGTGATCTTCCCAAAAAGGAAGGGACTTTATGGGAAAGTCCCCACATGCTCTCAGAACCTTGGTTATGGTTACTCACTTTCAGTTTTACCCCCTTTTTCCCCTTTCGTAGGAGTATCTTCATACTTACAAGTAAAAAAGTCCTCGGGTACATTTCTAGTCCTGATGCGAGGAGCAGGCCCTTCATACATATAGAAGTTTATTTGAGGAAAATAATCAGTCATATATTCCACCTTGTCACAAGCAGTCTGATCCATTCCTAAATTCAAAAAACAAATAAAGAAAAGAATAATCCACTGAGTGTATAAACAACAATTACATGTCTTTATAATATCTGATTTGTTTGTTAAGACAAATGATACATTTTAAAATCAAAATAGCAACGTGTACTTTTATTAAATAATGCATTAGGAATGTAGGAATTTACAAATCTTTTTTTCAAAGGTATTATTTAAATTTAAATCAGCAGCATGTGCTCCAAAAGGATTTGGCAGTCAAATCTTTTTTTAAGGAGCATATTCATGTATTATTATTATTATTATTAATTGTTTTTATTGACAGAGTCTTCAGACTGTAAATTTCTACTTTTAACAAAACGGATCCCCCTGATTTTAAAACAATAAAGTATTAGGGGATCATTCTGGAAATTTAAAAGACACAATACTGTGTTTCAGAGTTCTTCAAACCACTCCCACACCCCACCCTGTTCTTTTCACTGTGCTGGAGTTTCTCTTTGAATGTCTTTCTCAAGAAAAGAGCTGACCACCCTAGCTAGAAAAGGGTCCCATCTGCTTCATGAACTTATGAACACCCCCAGTCTAGTAGAGTACCAGGGATTGCATAGTACTTAAATATTAAATATAAATATTAAATATTTGTGGAATGAATGAGTACTTTACAACCATGCGAATGTATTCTATGTGCAGGACAGGGAGTAGCTGTTATTTCACTTCCTTTAAAGATCAGGTTTACCAAACTCAAGAATTAACCTCGAGCAGAGAAATCTGAGGGGACAGGACTTTACAGACAAAATGCTAAGTTAAACATACAAATTAAAGAAGAAAAAGAGAGTGGCAGAACTTGCCAATATAATAAATTGCAGCCAACCTACATGAAGGAATTACTAGCTGAAAAAAGTTACAAAAAGTTCTTTTCAGATTGAATAACAACCCAACCACAACCCTATTAAGTACTTTCAACTCCATTTTACAGAAAAAAAAAGTAAGTGGAAAGATTTTGAGTAATATTAAATAAATAAATTAGAAATTTTAATTGAGTCCTCTTTTCTTCATAATCTACCAGAAAATTCATTCTTTTCTTCTTCAAGAGCTTCTAGGTGTAGAAATGTAGATTTTAAATTATCATTATTATTTTTGTATGATCCCTAAAATGACAAACTATAATCAATGTTGAAATATGATTTTAAAAAAGAAGCATACCATGGTCAGCCAAAATGATTATGTTCACACAATTGTGTAAATTCCGCTGTTTTAGGCCCTCCATCAACAATCCAAAGGTACTATCCACTAACTGTAAGGCTTTAAGTAACTAAAATCAAACAAACAAACAAACAAAAAACAGAATTAAGATAGTCTTCGTGAATTGTTTTAATTACCCAAATAATTACTTAATCAAGTAAAAACTAAATACATTCTTTTTCTCTAAAATGGTGGGTTTTTGAAATAGAATTTCAGAGCCCAGCACCCATGCTACCATATTTACCAAATACCAATTCCATAAATATCTATAAACAAAGGATTGAGCTGCATTTCCTATAAAGGAAAATGCTGTACAAGTCAATAAATACATGAAGCAATGTTAAATGTCAAATAAACACTTTTCAACTGTCAATGTTTTCATAAGAATTGCAACTAGTAGAAAGGGGGATCCCAGATAAGCAAAGGGCTATATTCATTCTGGAAGATCATGTGACAATGGGTAACCAGAGAGTTGAAAATGAGCATACTCTGGAATTTAATAATTCTACTTTTGGGCATTTGTCCTAGTAAATACTTAAGGTACACATGGAGATTATATGCAGAGATAGTCATCACATTGTTGATTTGTAATTTGAATCCTGGGGAAAATAAATTATAGCAATGCTTTAGAACACACACTCTACAGCCCTTACAAAACATTTTTAAAAGAACAAAAACATAGGAAAATACTCACAATAGTGAAAAACAAACTGTATACACACCCATATGTATTGCATAATTCTGATTTTGTCCTTAATATATTTAGTATTTCTTAGTAAACACACATGCACAGAAAACTAAAAGAAAATATATCAATTGAAGTTCATTATATTTTATTGTTTATATTCTTTGTCTTATTAGATTTTTCTACACACACACACACACACACACACACACACTACATTGCACTGACCTAAAATTTTAAGTAAATTTTGCTGATATAAACTTTTCAGTAATTTTTTCAGTAAATGAGAAAGTGTAACAGCATTAGATTGGGGAACATGTTTAATTTCTCATAATACTATAATAACAATAATTGTCTTTTTTTCCTCTACTCCTCCTTCTTTCCCTCCCACTCCCCACTGCTTCTCCCCCTCCCTTCTACTTCTTCCTATTCCTTCTTATTCTTTTTGAGAAAAAATTTTACAAGCCAGACAGATTTAAGAGATTCTGTGCATTATCTCATGAAATCCTCACAGCAAACAGGCATGAATATACTATTGTAACTTATGCTATTGGAACTTCCAGCTGTAAGGCCTGGAAACTTGAGGTTTAAAGAAATTAAATAACATATTCGTGGTCCCACTGTTAAGAGACAGGACTTAAACCATGCTGGACATGCTGCTAAACTCACCACTGACTCCAAGGTACTTTCCTGATCTTTCTGACTTGTCAATGAGGTTTCTACCTGTTTTCACAGCATAATATTCCCATTTACATAGTCATTCTACTCATTCCTCCAAAACACACTAAGAACCCATCTTAGCCTCCTATTCTAGCACCCTGGCACACTGCCACCATCTGAGTATGTATTTGCCTCCCAAGAAGGTCATACAAGATCTTCCATGTTTCCTAAACCTCTCAAGGTTTCTAAACCTGGAGACTTTTTTTTTTTTTGTATTAGAGATTGAATCTAGCGATACTCTATGACTAAGCTATATTCTCAGAGCATTTATTTTTTATTTTGAGACAGGGTCTCACTAAGGTATCCAGGCGGCCTCAACTTGCAATCTTCCTGCCTTAACCTCCCAAGTAGCTGGGATTACAGATATGCACCATTGCACCTGATTAATTAAAGTCTTTCACAAAGTACACAATCCATAAAACAAAATAGCAGCTTTGGTATGGTAAGGTAATGAACAAGGACATAATGCTTGCAGTGGTGAGGCAAACCAATTTGGGTTGTACACACCATTAGAAACTGTTTCCTCCCATGAAACCATGACTATTTACTCTTACAGTGGACCCTGTGAAAACAGTACAATCCTGGTATAATGATTAAGTGGCAAGAACCCTAATGAACAATTGTGCTTTGGATCCAGCAGGCCCTCTTTGTAAAGCTGATTTCAAGGCTATAGAAGATCCAGTTGGCAGGAAGCTCTCTACAGTCATTACAATGATCTTCTTTTCGAAAGGCACAACATCCTTCTGCACTTATTCTACCTCCCACATGGAGACAGAATAAGTAGAGTTCTTCAGTGTTCTGAAATTCACCCACCACATTCATGAATATAACCAACATTTAAGCCAATCTGTTATAAATTTTTCTTTTTGAACTTTTTCTTCCCAACTTTTCATTCCATCTAATAAGTAATAATTTCTTTGTCAATAATGAATAACAGTTGAATCTTATTGAAGTATGTAGAACATCATCTGAAGTCATTCATAACCAGTCAGTCCACTCTGCAACCAGTTCATCTTCTATATTTCGACAATCATTGGAATGAATTTGCATTAAGAAATTCTTGGTTTTACTATATTTCCAATGCCTCTCCTATCTGCCCCTGCCATCCAAATACTAACATCCTCTATTTCCTGCTTTCATGAAGCTTTTTCAAGTTATGTGATACCACAATAATCTTCCCATTTAAAATTGTTTAAGCTACCAAATTTTAATAATTCACAATTTTTTAACCTAATGGCCTCTTTTAACAACAACAACAACAAAAACCCTGATTATATATTTACTCATTATTTCCCTTATTTGTCATTTCAACATGGTGTTTGGCAGTAAAGGCACCATTTCTTTAACCCTAGAAATTCTTAGCACAATATTAGCCTTGTTTAAAGTAGGCTTTAAAAGGATAGCAGAGCAAGAAGTGTTTTGATAACGAAAAAATCTAGAACAATTTAATAAGCTTAGTGAGTGGACCAAAACAAACTAAAATAGTCTTTTTACTTTTTATTTTTATATCATATTAATCCTGAATTCAGGTATTTGATTAAAAATAACAAATAATAATAATAAAGTCATGAAGTCTTTCAAATTTCTCCATTTTGCCTCTTCTTCCTGAGTTTTAAATGAAGCTTGGTATGGAACCAACCTAGGTATCCTTCAACAGATGAATGGATAAAGAAAATGTGGTATATATACAAAATGGAATATTACTTAGCCATAAAGAAAAAGGAAATTATGGAACTAGAGACTATCATGCTAAGTCAAATAAGCCAATCCCCAAAAGCCAAAGGCTGAAAGTTCTCTCTGATATGTGGATGCTAACACAAAACAAGGGCGGGGATAGAGACAACAGAAGTTCATTGGATTAGACAAAAGGGAATGAAGGGAAGGGAGGGGGGACAGGTATGGGAAAGACAGTAGAATAAATCAGACATAACTTTCCTACATTCACATATGAATATATGACCATGTAACTCCATATTATGTACAACTACAAGAATGGGAAGTTATACTCCATGTATGTATAATATATTAAAATACACTCTACTGTCATGTATAACTAAAATGAACAAATAAAATTTTTTAAGAAATGAAACTTGGACTTTATTCCTCCTCGGTTTTCACTATTCACTCCATCCTAAGAGTATCTCTACTTCCAGGCACCATCTATTTGCTACCAAACTTCTCTGATCTTTATTTCCTTTGAGCTTTAAATATTCATTCGGTTGCCTTCTGAACATATTCATTTGGATGTCCCTCTACTGCAAATACGCAACTCTCTTCAACTTATTCGCCAGCAGTGTTCTCATTAATGTAAATGGATCCATCATTATCTACTTGCTGGAGTAAGATAGAAACCAGAAACTCATCATTTCTGTACCACCCGCCTCATCCACCTTATACCAAGTCACACCAAGTCTATCTCCTAAGTGAATCTCAAATGTATCTGTTTCTATCCATGATGGTTGCCACTACCCTAGTATCCAAGTCATTACTGTATCCCTTCTGGAATGTTGCAAAAGCTATTCATTTTCTCCCCACTTTCCCTCTATACAATAAAAATGATCTATAAATACACACAAATATGGTCCTTCATTTTCCTGATTATAACACCTCAATGCTTCCTATTGAATTTTTTGTGGCCTGAAAACACTTGCATGATTTGGTGCTGCCTTCTCTGAATTTCCTCTTAGCCCTCTCCTCTGGTTCCTAACTCTCAAGACATTGGTGGGATATTATACTTACAGAGGATTTCAAACTGTACCTGGCACAGAGTAGCATGTGATAAAGGTTAGCTGCTGTTATTTTTATTGTTATCATTATTTATGGAGTCATCTAACCACCAGATTGTCTGTGCATTTGTTCATTATGTGTTCCTCTGGTATCCTCAGCTTCTTCTTCAATTGGGCCATCTTCAAATTATGTTTCCTTTTTGTCACTCAGAGGAGACCCCACTAGCCAGTACCAATTCTCACCCCACTCTGGACCAGAAGCTCTTCATAGACTTCTCAGGGCATTCAGATCTCTTCTTTTGCAAAGCTTTTCAGAATTAAAACTTACTTGGGTGCTAAACTAGAGCACTGAATGGGGGTGGGAAGAAGGAACTGATACCTAACCTAAGCCAGCTATATTATAGAGGGCAGATAAATACAGATAGAGCATCCCCTCTCAAATGATTAATCATATCAAACAATTAGACTAGAAAAAAAGAAATACTGAATATGTTTTAGTTCGTTACTGAATAATTTACCTTTAGAGTAAACTGAATTAGGGTAACATTCTGTGATATAGTCTAGAGTGGTACTGCAATACAGAAGAGGCTCACAGTCTTGGTGAGTTCTGAGTAGACTCACTGCTTTGTGATACTTTGTATTAGGAAGGAAGGAAAAAAAAATTCTCTGATAAATAGCAAAGGCATGCAGCCAGATTACATATGCTTGCATTCCAATTGAGGACAATTCTTAAATGAGTTTCCATGGGATAGGGAAATGCCATCATACTCATGGGATTTTTTTTGCAGCTTTGCACTATGTCCAAGACCATAAATGCTTTGGTGAAGTTCATAACAGAAAATGACTTTTTTTTTTTTTTGCTGAAAGCAGTATTTAAGGACTATATTTGTATGGAGAATCATAGCAGAATGTTCTAACTAATGAAGAAACTAATATTAGAGTCCCTTCCAATGATAAATATGGGCCCAGGAGGACGATGAATGTGCCCAAGGCAATAACATTGTCTAATTATAAGGAACTTATGAATGCAACCATGTATGAGTAGACAGCTGGATATACCACAGAGAACTTGCAAGTGACTTAGTTAGAATTGGGCCACATTAGCATGCCGAATTGACTCATGCAGTATCTAACCCTGATGTTTTCATTTTATGAAATAAAAGAGTGATACTGAAGTCTTCAGTGTTTATTAAAAGAATCAAGATGTGGTTAATTAGTCAGTTGTCCTTTCTAGAATTTAAATTGTTTTGTAGTTAAAAAAGCAGAAATCTTTTTAGACTTCATTTATTTTGAAACTGCTCATGTATTTATCAGATATATTTATGTACAGTAGAAATGATAGGATACTTTTAAAAAAAAATTTGTTGGGTAGGGTTAGATGGTTTTCCATTTGTTTTAAAAATAAAAACTTACTTTGCCACTGACGGGCCCCTCGTCATGTCCTGCAGAATCAGGCTCTTCCACATATATGGTATAAAAATTGGGCCTACGGGTAAAAATTGAACAGAAAGACATTAAAAAATTGGAATAAACCTGTAGCAAAATCTGGGGTTTTGTAGATCTTGAATATGCTAGCCACTCTTTTTCTTTCTGGCTTTCTCCATATTCAGGCCCGTGGTGGCACTTGGCCCCAAATGGAATTGGTTTCCTAACAGGAAGTAAATAAGACCTGCCAGGATGTAAGCATTGGTCTGCCTGAGCTGTGAAAATCTGTCTTTTCTTACAGTTAGGACATCTCTGGGTGTGCCCAAGCCCTTTATACTTCCTAGTTTCTGACTTTTTGCTGGCTTTCTCTTCTACTACACCAAGCCCTTTTTTGGATGTCTGGTTTCTGGTGTGCTGTTTACTTCTAATTCCCTTTCAGAAGACTCTGACTCCAGCCTGTTATCATGGCCTTGTGCAAGCACCTGATTCCTAGGGTCTGTCCTTAGAAGTGAGTGTCAGATCCAGTTTCAGCTCTGCCCTACATCTTCCCACATCTTCCCACATCTCCCACATCTTCCTCTGTGATATTTGCCTCTTTTCTCTTGCACTGGCTCTGTTTCTGCAGTTAATAGTCATTGTCAACCATGTCTTCAAGAGCACCAGACCTTAGAAATAACTCTTGAAAAATGCCCATTAAAAGGCAATAGCAAGTATTTTCAAAAATGGTCAGTAAGGATAAAGAAAGAATTCCATTTCTGGCCCAAATGTATCCCATTATGCCAGCACTTCTCTGATACTAGGTATTACCTTTCAGCTTTGGGTAGGTCCAGCCATTTTAATAAAGTAGAGACTCTCTCTCCATATGAGATCTTACTGGAAAAAAAAGAGTAAATATAATTTTAAAAACTTAATTGAATCAAGAATAATTCCATTCTATTCCTCCTCAGGATGATAGGTTAATATCTTCAGATATCTATTTTGTGATCCTATATGATCAAAATATTGAAAGGTATTCAGTATACCCAAAGGATCACTAGTTTCAGTATTTATATATAATACACTAGCAGCACTGTATAGTAAATGTACAATGCTTTGTTTCTTCCTTGTCCTTCTCTCCTTCAATTTTTCCCAACTAAACACTCAGTTTATTAATTTTTATCCAGTTATATATTTATACATATTGAGCATCTATTGACAGACACTATTTGTTCATTTGAAACAAAATTTATCAGTTGAGTAGACCAAAGATTATATTACCACAGAGGAAGACAAGAAACAAACAATATAGTTAATATGCAAATTCCATAGTATATTTAGGGGTGAAAAATGCTTTAGAAAAAAGAAAAACTACAGCAGAGTAAGAGGCCCTGAGAAACTGGGGTGAGAGTGATTTAGAATTCTAAATCTGGGTGTGTTTGAAATAAGACAATATTGAGAATTTTTTAGCACCACTGAAAGAAGTGAGAGCGTGGGCATGTGAATCCAGGGAAGAAGTCATCTCAGGCAGGGGGAAGAGCTGGTGCAAAGGCCTTACAGTGTAAGTAAGGTTGGTGTGCTGAGATCCACTGAGGAAGTCTGAGTGTGCATTAGGGGCAGCAGTCAGACAGCAGGTCTGAAGTGGTGGTTGTCATCTCACAGAGAGTCTTAAAGGCTTTTTACTCTGACTGATCCAGGGAGCCACTGAAATTTTTCATGCAAAGGAGTACCATAATTAGACTTGCATTTTAAAGAAATCTTTTTGGCTGGTTAAATAAGAATAAATTACAGTGGGGAAGAAGCAGAGAAATATATAAAGAGGCAATTGTAGAATATAGCTCAAACCAGAATGGTAACGCTGGAGATTCTGAGACTGCATTCATCTTTGTTGTGGTTTAGATTAGGTATTCTCCAAAAGCTCATGTGTGAGACAATGCAAGAAAGTGTAGAGATAAAATGATTGGGTTATAAAAGGTTTAACCTCGTCAGTGTATTAATGCCCTGATAGGTATTAACTTGGAGGTAACTGTAGACAGGTAGAGTATGATTGAAGGAGGTGGATCACTGGAGGCATGCCTTTGGATTTTTTATTTGTCCTTATTGAGTGAAGCTGGCTCTCTCTGCTTCATGGTGGCCAAGGGTCATGCTCCCAGCTGCTTTCCTTGCATCACCTTGATCCCTAGGGAATAGAGTCAGCTATCTATGCATGGAGCCCCCAAATGAATTTTTCCTCCTCCACTTGTTCTTGTCAGGACTTTTGATCACAGCTGTGAAAAAACTGACTTAAACAATTGTGAATTACAACCCAAAGCATTTCTGACAGACAGAATGATAGATGAGAGAGAAGAAACAATGACTCCAAGGTATCTGACCCAAACAACCAGAAAAATAGAATTCCCATCAAGATTAAGACAAAAAGGGGCTGGGGTGGAGGAGCTCAGTGTAGAACATGTGATGTGCTTAGCATGCACATGGACCTGGGTTCAATCCCTAGCCATTAACAACAACAACAAAAAGACCCCCCCAAAAAAATCCTAATCATTCCTGCTTAGATGGGCCCTTATCTGAAAGTGTTTTAATACCCATTGTAATCCTTATATATTGTAGGAAAGGAGCCATTAATAGCCACATCTGATCCTGGCCAGTAGTAGGCAGCAGCTTTTAAACCTTGGTACATTGCTGTCAGCCATATCTATAAAAAGAGAAAACCAAGAATAAGTGAACATCAATAGGATAATTAGTTGGCATGGAAATGATACAATTTATTGAAAACAACAATTTCAGCAAATTGTAACTGTAACTGCAAAACTTATAATAATTATTAAAACTTGTCTTTGCAGAGGCTAAAATATATAAATATTCAAGTATCTGCCTCAAAAATTAAAAAATGTGGTAAAGCAGTAGGAACAGGTTCTTTTTTTTTCAAACTGATGAAATTATAAGATTCTTCTTTCCCTTTAAAAGAATTGCAAAATATTATGAGGAAAAATCAGATAATTTTTCTAAGTAATTTCTAGATGGATATATTTATAATAGAAAACTCAAGTTTCAACATAAGAGCGAACAATAACAAATGTTGAAATTTTTCAAATAATAATAATAAATAGTGATGAAACACCTTCAGAACCCAGCCCTTGGAGTCAAGATGGAAAATTTAAAACTAAAAATGGAACAAGAAGATTGATCCATTATCACATAGGTATAATGGGGGGTACTCTGGATGCCATGAATAGAATGCTACATACTGGTTGCCCCTTCCACCAGGCTGGGTTATTTTTCTCCTTTGAAGAAAGTGAAAAATTCTTGTTGAGATGTACATCATACATATTATTGTCAATGATACCATGTGATTCTGGATACAAGCCCTAAAATGTAATTTAAAAAAAGAGTGATAAATAAAATTATTTTAGTAATTACTGCTTATTAAAGTCAAATGTATATTTAAGTTAAAAACTGTAAGATCTATAACTCATATCTAGGAAGGATGTCAAGTACCTTTCAATATAAAATACCTGGATCTGAACTCAAATATGAGGTTACCTAGCCAGATATAGACAGTTTTTTTGCTTCTAGTTCTGCCATGGTATACAGTAGCAAACAAAGGACATTAGGTGGATGTTCTGCATTGATGGTGTTAGTAACTATTCATCAACAAAGTTGCCCATAATATAATAATAATTATCCACTGTTTATATTAGCAACAGTCATAAGAAATTTACTAGATAGCATCTTTCAATTACCAAATATTTGACTAAATGAGATTAAAGCTGGTTATCAGTGTTTTAGAAAGAGCCTTCCCAATCTCTGTCCATCCTCTTTTCCATTCATCCATTCCTCTATCAATCCAATCATTCATTCAAATTATATATAGTCATTCAATTATTCTACACATTTTCATTGAATACCTATCATATCTCCTATAATCATAACTACTTTTAGACAGATTCTAGGGTTATCCATTCAGAATATCACTATTTATATGACATAGATATCACATAAATTAATAGCTTGTATATAATCTTTTATTCATATATATGTATGTGTGCATTATATGTATTATGTATTTATATTTATGTGTGTATATGTATATTGTCAATTCTTATTATTCAAGGTAGTTATGTTCTCTAACGTTGTGATGAAAACTGAATTACCAAATACTAAACCATTACTTCTAGGAGAAAACATAGGGTTAGGTTTCTGAAGACCTCTGGCATGACATTTTTGTGTATTGATTATTACATTACCTTCTCTGTTTCTGAAAAATGGCACTTATTTAATATATATTTTTAGCTCACTGTACCCATGCCTGAATGAAGTTTACCTAATGCATGATCTTCTCTGTAAGGCATGTCAAGGCCTTCTTGCTATAGGAACTATAGGTGGCACTTCAGCACTATGATTGGGGGCCATTTTGAATGACAAAATCACCAATAAGAAACACAAACATGAAAAACATGACTGTTGACATCATGAGAACTAAAACAAGAGGACAGGCATGCTGCTTTGTATACCTCAGCTGGGAACATGTGCATCAGGCAACTCACATGGCTCCTGGGCATATTCACAAATGACAAAAATTTGTGGATCAGTGGTTACAAATAAATTTTAGAAAGCAGATGAATTTGAAAACACAAAATCTGCAAACAATGAGGCTATATACATACAAACATACAATTATTTAAAATTTTAATCAGTCATAGTTATCATTCCATAGTAATAAAATACTATTATGCAAAATAGTAAAGACACAAATATCTTTTGATGATAAAGGCTGAAGCAGAGGACTCATAAGATGTGTTCCAAATCTATAAATCTTAATTTTCCTTTGAGTTCATTTGAATAATTTCAGTTACATCTTTTCATGTATTAAGGAAAATTTACCCTTTTTAGTTGTTTTATCTAAAAAGATGTTGTTTATCTAAAGAATCAGTATGAGTTCATTCATGAAACATAAGTCTTTATTAAGTTAGACATCATAAAAAGACTAATGAAAACAACATTTCCACATCACAGTGGTGATGAAGTTTACCTAACCCATGATCTTCTCCATAAGGCATGTTGAGTCCTACTTGCTATAGGAACACCAGATGGCACTTCAGTATTATGACTGGGGGGCATTTTAAACAGGAAAATAACCGATAAGAAGCACATATAACCTACCATTCTCAGTAGACCTTCAGTTAAATAAAGGGCAATAAAAAGGCCAGAGGAGAAAGGTATTTCACAGAAGTTATTCTGGCCTCACACAAAGGTGAATTAACCAAATGCAAGGACACTCACTCATAGTTAATGTCTCACAGCACACTGCAGCCTCCTGTTGAACCATGCCTCCCCAGCTGAATTAGCCATGAACTATCATTGCATGTACTTGTGAAGTATGTGGCCTGGAATTGGACAGTTCTTGCCCAATCACATTTGTCTGACATGGTTGGTTTCCTATCTGTGGCCTGTTAGTCTTCCCATTGGGCAAAGCACTTACCGTGACAATGGTGTAATGATTTGGGAAGGTTTTGGTAGGATATACAGCTCTCATGTATTTTGAATGAATTCCACATGTTTCTGGAACAAAGTACAGTGAGAAATTAGAAAGATGTCTCTTCCTTAGAAATATCTTGAATAATTAAAAATCTGAACATGATCTGGGCACAGTGGCACATGCCTGTCATCACAACTACTCAGGGAAGCTGAAGCAGGAAGATCACTAATTTGAGGATAGTGTGGTCAACTTAGTGAGACCTATGTCAAAATAAAACAAAAAGGGCCAGGGATGTAGCTCAGTTGTAAAGTGCTTTCCTAGCATGCACAAGGTCAGGGGTTCAATCCCCAGCACCATTAAACAAACGAAGAATAGCCTGAACATTAAGGGTTTTCCCAGTAAACTAAAGAGTGGATCGAATAGGGAAATAGGTTGAAATCCTGACCCCTACACTTCTTCCATTCCAAAGAATGTCAGTTTTTAGGGAAGGAATGAGATACATCAAGGCCAATAAATTTTTTTCTGTGAAGAGCCAGATAATACATATGGTTTCTGTTGGAATAGCTCAACTCTGCCATGAAGCTACCAAAGCACTCATAGGCAATACACAAACTAATGAGCATGACTATGTTCTAATAAAATTTTATTGGTGGACATTTGAAACTTATTTTCATATTACAAGATATTCTTTTATTTAAAAAAAAAACATTTAAAATGTAGAACAACTCTTAGCATATGACAGGCAATATGAAATCAAGCAGAGCAAGCAGGATTTGGCCTGTTTGGATTGCTGATCCCTGAGCTAAAGGTAATCTAAATTATACACTTAATTTGCTTTTTCTTTCTGACTCTGGTCATTACAGTAAGAATCTCTACATATCATGGCTTCTCAGCTTATTATTCTTATATGTAAAGTCTCCAACATAATAAAAATCAACACAACTGTCTAGGTAACTAAAGAGGGATTTGACATGTACAATTATATAAGCCCATGCCAATAGTAATGTTTGCAAAATGAGCTAACTTTACTGCTTATTATTTTCAATTCAATTCCCATTTGATCTGTAAAGTTTCCTGTACTCTGTTGTTCACATAATATGGCATTAATTTTGCTTTCATTGTTCTGTTATTTTCAATCTGTGCAGTAACCTTGTTCAAGGAGGTCAGAGCTACTGGAGCACATTGCTATTTCTTTTGCAGCAATAAAGTCCAAGAAATTTTCCATACCCAAATCCCACTGCCTCTAATTCTAAAGGAAAGTTTCCCAGTTATAGACTCTATTTAGGTTAAAAAAAAAAAAGTAAAATTGTTGGGCAAAAAGTAACAAACTTGCAGCTGGAAACAATGAATGTTTTCCCAAACAGGCATGTGGTTGGTCTCCTTCCCAGCCTCTGTTCAGTATTTCCAATACAATCCAGGAATTTCTTCCTTCAGAATCTAGTCCCTATAAAGTTCACTAAATAGGACCATTTGATAGGAAACAAGGAGATGGGGAAAAGGGAATTCAAAAAGTTTACATTTTTAATAGTCACGCCAGATGATTCTGATATACCTGAGTTTGAAAGCTGCTCTGACACTTGATTTATAAGGCATGATTTAAAATTAAAATAAACTTTATTTTTCTCTTTTTGTCAACAACATCAATAAATAATTCATGTCTTCAGTTAGGAGAAGACACATTTAATATTGTTGAAAAGTCGTATGATAAGAAAATATAAAGGGGGCTAATCCTCTTGCATAATTGAAGAATTTAAGTGGTTGAAAAAGTTATAGAATGAACCAAGATATAAAGTCAGTTTTTTTTTTTATTTCCTTGGGTAGCAAACTCAAATTCTTTAATGCCCTAGGGTACAAAATAACACATAAACTAAGCCATAGTGTATAAAGTAAAATGTAAACTAAGCTATAAGTACAGAGTAAACATGACACTGTTCTAGTTATAATCTAAACAGGACACATCTCCTGACTACCTATAGACCCAGGTTACTATTTTGCATTTGAATCAGGCTACTGCAGAACAGTCCATAAGAAACATGGTCTTCCAAAACTGTTTCTTCCAAAACTTAATAATCAAATTTATGATCAAATAGAATACTATTGGAAAGATGTGAAATAAACCAATGAGTAGTTGTTTCTGTAGAAGAAAAAAGAAGATGATCAGGAAAAAAAGGTATTTGTTTTTACTATATATACTTTAATATTGCTTTGAAATGTATACCATATGCACAATTTACTTCTAGAAAACCATTTGTGTGTGTGTGTATGTGTGTGTACATGCACACGTGTATGCATACTTATGAGGAGTACTGGCGATTGAACACTAGCCCTTGTTTGGCGAGCTCTACTTTTGAGTTGTATCCCCTACTCTTTTTATTTAATTTTGAGAGAGTATCTCACTAAGTTGTCCAGGCTGACCTTGAACTTGTGATACTCCTGCCTCAGCCTCACAAGTAACTGGGATAACAAATATGCATCATCATATCCAGTTACAAAATCGTTTTTTAAAAAAGAAAATACTGAACAAAAATAACCTGAAAATATAAATGGGACACACATACGTAACTAGGCTTACAATAGTTATATACTACAAGAAGGAACAGAAGACTAAATGGATGAATAGATGAAGTAGCCAAAGAATGTGCAGATCAAAACTACAATGTAGTTTTTACAAAGTGTTATTGATTATGGTATTCTTACAAATGGAAAACATAGAAAATAGCTCAGCAATATTCATAGGTCAAAATAGGTACTTTTCATTTTACACATTTTCTTCTGAAAATACTAGCCATATGGTTGACCTGTGTCACTTCCAGCACTCAAATCAATAAGTTCTGCAGAACCTCTGATCTTCCCAGTAGTTGCATGTCTGCATCCAAACCCTTGGCACATAGATGATAAAAGGTAGAAGGAAGACAGAAATGATATCAGTAATATGGCAGAATAGGAAGCTCTGGGGTCTTCTTCCCACCACAGACATAACCATTTAATAGCAATACATGGATCAATTCCCTTTGTGAAAAACCCAGAAACTACTTCAGAGTCTCCTGTAGACCAACAAAGTGTGAAACCAGCCATATCAAAACTAGTAGCAGAAGTGGAAACATATCTTTTTCATAATCCCCATCCTTAGTAGGTCTTACACAATTTGGAGGGAACCCCAAGATACTGTCATACTATCTGGTAACAATCCCAGTTTCTCCCCAAGAGGGAAAGAACTGAATTAGATGTTTACTATCCAACTTTCCAAGTGCTATAAAAGGGACTAGCTTCTATCTCACTGTCTTGAAGAGTGGGTGGGACCATAAAGTAGGGCCCTGTGGGATACAGTGAACAAAGAGGAGGTTTAAACTAGCATGTAGACATTTGCTGTAGCTCCTTCCTCTGATTTAGCTCAGAGTGAGTAAGTAATAAACTATAACTTCTAGCTTCTTCCTGAGGAGGAAAAGAATTAGACCACATGTCCATTGCCCTAGTTTTCCAGAGGGTTCCCAAAGGCCTGCCCTCTGTCTTATCAGTCTTATAGCACTAAGAGGACCCAGCGTAGGTAAAGAATCTGGGAGCCAGTTACCACAAAGACAATGATTTGATCTAACATGGTAGTAATCATATCCTCTCCCCCTGGCTCATCACTGAGAAAACAGACAATACCCCTAATATTTCAAATTATTCCTGGGAACAGAAAGAGTTAGAGTGTTTAAAGAGTGTCTAATGATCTAACTTCTCTGGTGGCTGCCTGAGGAGCTAGTTTCGGTCTTGCTTATCTCAAAACATTAAGAGGACTTGGCATACACCAGATTAGGGGGTGGGGGTAGACCTAAGAACAAAGAAAGAAGATTAAACTAGCATAAAGTTTTGAGGAACTTCCAGAATCTCTGACCAGATTGATTGATGAGGGTTTCTTTTACACAAGGCCAGTCTATTAAGATTGGTGTCTAAAAAAAAAAAAAAAAAAAGATTGGTGTCTAATGTATAGACACCAACACAGAATATAAAGGAAAAAAAGAAACAAAGAAATATATTCAAAACAAAGGAACAAAATTAATCATAAAAATTGAACCCAATGAAGCAGAGAAGTATGATTTACCTAACAGACAATTCAAAATAACTATAATAAAAGTTCTCATTGAGATGAGAACATGTATGCACACAATGAGAATTTCAAGAATTTTTAAGAGACAAACAATATTGAAAAGTACCAAATGGAAAACAGGGATCAGAAGACTATAATAACTACACTTAAAAATGAAATAGGGGAGTTTAATTGCAAACTAGATAAAGAAGAAGAAACAACTCCAAACTCAAAGACATGTCTTTGGGAAATATTCATACAGAAGAGTAAAACTAAAATTTTAGAAGGAGGAAGAGGAGGAGGAAGAGAAGAAGAAGAAGAAGAAAAAGATTAAGACACTTGTGGGACACCATCAAGTAGACCAACATATGCAGTATGGAATTTTTTAAAGGAAAAGAGAAACAGAAAAAAAATCAGAGAGTGTATTCAAATAAATAATGGCCAAAAGCTTCTAAATATGAGAAGAAAATGAACATGCCGGATTAGGAAATCTAAAGGATCTCCAAAGAGATGAACTTTAGGAAGTCCACATCAATGCAGATAATAACCAAATTCTCAAAAGACAAAAAAAGAATTTTGAAAACAGCAAGAGAAAGGTGACTCCAAAATATGAGGGAAACTCTACAAGACTATCAGCAAAATTTTCAGCAGAAACTGTAAAGCAGAAGGGAGTGGAATACAATAGTCAAAGTACTGAAAGAAAAAAATTTAAAAACTGCCAAGTAAGAATGTTCTCTCCAGCAAAACAGATCTTCCAAAAATGACAGACAGAAATAAAAGCAAGAGAGGGTGGATGGGGATACTTTTCCATACAAATAAAAGCTGTGGGAGTTCATCACCACTAGAACTTGCAGAAGTAGGAGTTCTTCAACTTGAAACAAAGGACACTACACATCAAAACATAAGAAAGTATAAAATACAGTGCTAAAGTCAAATATATAGACAAATGCAGATGCTATATTATTGTAAAGGTAGTAGATAGTCATTTTAAATCCTAGAATAAAAGTTAAAAGC